GGCTGTAAGTAATGAAAGCAAAACTTCTACTGAGAGTTGAACTAGAGTCTAAGCTGGAGACCTTACTACTCCCTGTCCAGGGACCAAACTCAACAGAGGCATATAGTGGTTTGTGAGTAAACAGTGGAGCTGGAGTGCCTGGGTTTGATTCCTGTTTCTCTTGATCTACCTTGGGCAATGCATTAGCTGAGGCTTCCATAACATTGCCCCAGATGGCTCATTAAACAACAGAAATTTCTCATTGTTCTGGAAAAGAGAAGTCCAAGATCAAGGTGTTGGAAGGGCTGGTCCCTGGCTTGCAGACGGCAAGCTGCCTTCTCTCTGTGTTCTCACATGGCAAAGAGAGAGGGAGCTCTGGTGTCTCTACCTCTTCTTGTAAGAGCACCAGCCCGGTTGTATTAGGGCATCAACCTTATGATTGCACTTAACCTTGATTACCCTCTTAAAGGCCCTATCTGCAAATGTAGGCACATTGAGGGCTTCTATGTATGAATTTTGGGGAGGAGTTCAATTTATAATAGGCAAGTCACCCCCTTTCTGCCTCCCTTTCCTCTTCTGTTAAGTGGGGCTAACAACAGTGTCTACTTTATTGTCATAGGCACTAAATGAGTGGTATGTGTAAGCCCTGAGATGAAACTGAACCGGGTACACAGGCTTCCATGGCCATCAGTTATTACATACATTTGAAAACCAATTTTAACTTTTTATTCATCACTTTTTTCCCAGTTTATTTATTTATCTGTTTGTTTATATTATCATTAAAATACAGTTGTTTCCATTTTCCTGCCACCACTTTCCCCCACCCCACCCACCACACTTCCTACCCTCCATCCTACCTTCTTTTGGCCTTGTCCATGGGTCTTTACACATGTTCCTTGACGACCTTTCTCCTTCTTAACTATACAGTGCATCTCCGGATATTTCAATGAACCAACTAGCTCATTACTCCCTCTTTCCTCAGAAAATGACCACGAAAACAAAGAAACAAAAAACATAATCTCTGTGGTAATGCATCCTGAATTGCTCAGGATTTCCTTTTTTTGCATACATAGACATAGCTTCTACTTTGTCATATAATATCACTGCTTTGGTTACTCACCCTCTCACTTTGATTTTAGCCAACATATCCCAGGAGTACTGAGGAAATAATCAGTGTCAGATTTTTCCAATGCTTGAATTTTTTTCTTTGTATTTTATAACTAACTCTTGTGTTCTAGCCAATGTTGACGTTTTGGCAACTTTGGGGTTATGAGGCCAAGGTGGGTAGAGTACCAGTGGGTCTGACGAAGAGGAGAAATGAGAAAGACAAAAAAATGACACTTAAGTACAGAAAGAATAGTTGTGTTTTTTGCCAAAGTTATGGGTCTGTAGAAGTGGTACAGTGTTTTAGACAGAGTCTAAGAAGTGTTAGTTATTACTTTATCCATAATTCTCTAAGTACTTCACCTCAGCTAGAGTTCAACTTTTTAGCATTGCAATGTCCCCATTTCCAAGGGAAAGTACTGGTTTCCTAATGTCTCCTTGGAACTTGAAATGGGTTACTTCTTTCATTCTAAGGCAAACTCAGAAGTACATTTTTGTGGGGAAAACTCCTACACAAGAGGATAGGTCACAGCCTTGGCCTGAACTTAAAGTGACCACTACACTCCTTTTAAATTCCAAGAGTTGAAGTTCTTAGAGCAAAAGTTTGGAAGACATTAAGCAAGGTCATTCACTTTACTCAAATATTAAAGCTCATCTGGACATTTTCAGGCTTAAGAAGTGCAAGGCCACAGGAAATAAAAAAATATCCAGGTTTCCTTCTCTTTCTGCCTAGTCAAACATAGGTCCTCTGTGTACATTCAGTTCTTTGAAGTGCACTAGAATTATTTTACATTCTACTCTTTTAGAGCTTAAGGACTAGTCTGATTAATTCTCTTGGTAAAAAGTAGGTAATGCCTGTTCAATGAGATGAGATGTTAAAAGTCTAGCTTTCTCTGGCTGTTTGGATTATTAGGATTACAAAGCAATTATTTAAGGTGGTAGATCCTCTGGTGCATTTAAGTATTTTGTGAATCATTAACTGCTTGAGAAAGCTGGGAAACAGGTTGAAGTGGAAATAGAAATTTCCAGGTAAAGATTTTTTTCAAGAAATGAAAAATAAATAGACTCTCAGAGATTCTAAAGTTTCCTCAAAGGGGAAAGAGGTTCCTATTTACAGCTGTATCTCAGGAGCAACACACCATGAAAAACAGGTCACAGTTGTACTCAACTAGCATTTGTTATACCTGATACAGGCCGAACCTCAGATGAGTGCATCATGTATTACTAAGTTTCATCCTTTGAACATCCCCACTTGCCAGTTAAAGAAAATTAGGATCAGAATTTTTCAGTGATTTTCAAGACTTGTTGGAGCTGAGACTTGAACTCAGGGAGGGGCTGTGCTCTTTCTATATTGGACAATGTCAAACACCAAACTGATGATGTCATCTTGAGTGACCACTTTACTTTGCCATACTTGTTCTCCATTTCTTTGCCTTGTTCCATTAAAAAGTTAGGTGAACTTCTCTAAAAATATTGATGATTTTATAGAGTTTTTCCTTTTTAACAGCGTAGTGAACAAGACAAAGTTCAGTAATATTACCTTACTCTAAGAAAAATGGTTGTCTCATTGTAGTATCTTTATTTATACTATAGAATTCTATTTTGCATTATACAGATTTATGAGTTATAGGGCCCAAGGATACAGGGGATTGCAGGTATTAACTTAAAGGCAAACATATCCAAGCACCTTCAATTTAGTCATGCTACAGGCTATAATAAGATGGAGGCATATTGATGAATTTCAGTCTTTAAAATTCATCTAGACTAAGACATGTAGCTAGTTGGTGCATTGATTAATACTGCCCTGTGACAGCTTAGGAGTTCCAATGTTCCATTTTGGCTTTTCCTCCTCAGGCATTACAACCTAGAGGTCCTTCACAGGATAATAGCTTGATTTGGGGAATCAGATTCTCTGTTGCCAAGGCTGCTGAAATTCTGAGAAGCTGGGTGGTATTTGCTACATGGTGCATAATTCAAGGTGATTTTCATACATGAGCCACAATCACCATGGGACAACTTGTTGAAACAGAAAGGAAGGGAAGGAGCCAAGATCTGGAGTGGGAAGACCAGGCCTCAGGTCTCGGTTCTCCTTGGCTACCCATGCCAGACTGGCTTGAGCAAATCTTAGCCTTGCTCATGGAGAGTTTTCTCATCTGCAAAATAAAGATAGATGATAATACCGACTTTGAAGAATTGAGCCTAAAATAAGATAATTCCCTCTCTGTCCCTCTGACACACACACAATCTGCTAGGCCAGGCTGGAGCACAGACATATCTCAGACACAGCCCTACCACCGTCCAAGAGGAGAGACAAGGCAAAGGGCAAGGCAGTGGGGGTGCAATGTGGTAAGGCAGTGATTTTCAACCTTCTTCACCTCATGGCACATGGACACTAACTACTAAAATTCTGTGGCAGACCAAAAAATGTATTTTTTGCTGATCTGACAAAAAAGTAGGTATAATTTTGATTCATTCACACCAGATAGCTATTGTTATGTTGGCTGTTGTCATTTTTTAATTTAGCAGTCTAAGGGAAAAGGGGTCAGGGCCCCAGACTAAATAGTCAGATTGCATGTTTTAAAAATTCTTACTACACACCAGTTAAAAATCACTGGTTTTTAGGGGAAAGATCACCAAGAGAAATTAGGGAGATTCCCAAACTTTGAGTTGGACCCTAAAAAGGTGGTTGAGATCTAGCCGTGTGGAAACGTAAAGAGAGGAGAGAAGGCTGTGTGTTTCAGGCTAAGGAATCAGCAAGAGCAAAGGCATGTAGGGGGGCTTTTCCTGAGGAGAATTCATAAAAGCGATTTAGCTATGACAACTACCATATCTTCTCCTCCCTTTTGCAAAGTCCGTTTAGACACTGTTTGTGAAAAACGTGGGTGTGGTAGAGAAAATTTCCAGCTCTGGCCTACATTCCCTAGGCATCACTTGTTTCCCAGGCTTGACTTCCCCTTCCATTCTTCCTAGCTCTATGGTTCGTCAGGCATCCAAATGAATTTTATGTGTATCATTTACCCCCTCAGATAATAACCACTGTTATTGTCACATCACTGTCTAAGGGGCCATTGTGGTACCTGTTACTCAATACACTGCTGGTTTTCTTCTGTGATGAGGTCATCGGTGAACTGCAAAGGGAAGCAGCTTCAGTCAGAGTCATGAGAGAAGGTACCTTCTTCAGTCCTACCTGTGCTAATATCTTGACAACTACCTTTGGGCATGTTCAGGCCATGCATTCAGTTTATTTCCCATTCGTTCTCAGGCTGTCACTGAGCCAGTTGCAATTGTTCACACAACTGGAATATAAGGATCTTTGCCTTCAAGATAGTCTAGACAAACTAAGAATATACAAGACAGAGAATGATTGGGAGGACAAGCGAGGGACAGTTAGAATCTTCTGAAGTTAGCATAGTTACAGTCCTCTGTGTCTCTCTCCCACCCCTGACCTCCCCCCCACGCCTGACCTCCCCCTCCCCCCCTGGAGGGGGTGTTAAAGGGGCTGTTCTGGAAGAGGTGAAATTAAACTTAAGCCTGGAAGCATGGTGGCGGTTTAGTTATCTGGGTTCCTCACCCTCAGAGACTCACAGAAAACCCTTAGAATATATGCTTTTTTCTTTCTGTGAAAATGTGCATCTGGCCCATGGTTGGAAACTAATAAGGAAAACTAGGTTTGACTTGTGAAACTGCCTCACGATCAAAGCTTTGTTGTGTGGGCCAGTGCCTCACATTCACATCCTCACTAAGGGGCGACAAGACTTTTCAAGGCTCTGTGTCTCCCAGCTTATATAATTCTGTCTAGAATATTGGCTAACTCCATAAACTTACAGAATTACACTCAAATGGGTTTTTTTTAGGTTCACTTTTAGCCTGATAACTTCCCTTATCTTCATGGGGGTTTTGGTGTCTTATTTCCTCAGGATGAATTTCAAAACTACTCTTGGAAAAAGGTAGTGTGGATCTACCTGTCAGCACTAAACAGCACATTTCATCTCACTCCTGACCACCCTCTCATTGCAGATGAAGAGTATATCATAAATAGAGCCATACGAAAGCCAGATCTAAAGGTAAGTATATTCATGGTTACCGCTGATGCAAGAAATATTAAATCTTTCCCCCCAAAAATGTAAGAATAAATTCAGATCCTCCACTGTCCTAATTCTCAGTTGACAGTGTAGAACATTTTAAGTGGGTATGTGCAACCTTGATGACAACCTTCGATAAATTACTAAACTTTGCCTACTTCTAATGTTAACTGATGAAATTTAATAAATTAAGGAATACAAAGATTAATATGGTGCCATGTGTATAGTAGATGCTCAGTACATATTAGTTCTTGGTAGCCTCAAGTCCTGCATTATAACCTATGTAACAGAGCTTACTTTACAGTAAAGGTATATCACCCAGGAACATCCCAGAGAGTTTGCTGTGCTTGCATGATGACCTTATTTTGAATACGTCATTTAGTTGTCATTGAGGAGGTACTCCCACCTCTCCATATTAAATGAGGACTACTTGGATTATGGTTAACATTCATATCAAAAATATATTTTATAAGACAGACTATTTTCTCTTTAATTTATATATGTGTAAATAGCTGTTTAAATTCACTTTATGAGCTTAAGGTCAATTTAAAAAAGTAACACTCAATTGTTGAGCAGTTTCTGTATTGTCAATTGTTATTACCCAAATTGAACCACCAAAACAAACAAAAACAAAAGAGGCCAAGCACCTCTAATAGATTGCTTAATCTTGTAGGTGGCCATTCACCTAGAAAAATAAGCATCCCAGGCTTGACATCTTCATTTACCTGCATAAGGCATAGGAACTTTGGCTAGTTACTATCTCCCTAATCATTGTGTTACTTACTTATAAAATAAGAGTAATAACTGATTTTTTTCCTGTTTCTCAGGGCTCTTTGAACCTAAAATGCGAAAATGGATATTAATGTGTTTTGTGAACTGTCATGAGCTATGTTCATAAAGGGCTGAAATTTTAATTAAAATTGGAGGAGATATCACAGGCTAAGCCATGACCACACAGACAGCAATTAACAACATAACTGAAATGATAACCATTCAGGGCCATTTAGGGGAAGTCTGGAGACTGCAGCACAAGAACTTTGTCCAATTTGCAAGTGCAAGCTACAGGGAGACTCTCAGAACCATCTTGTAGGATTGCATGCAATACTGAAACTCAGTGCTTCCAGGATGTTCTTACAACATATTTCAATATGAAATGAAGAGCAGGAAAGCCTGGAAGAGGGGGAGCTTCCTGGTTCTGAGCAGAAAGATGAAATTCACCCCACAGCAGATACCTGATTTTCTACTTACTATTTCCTAGTCTTAAGTTGCAGGAAACGGGCAAATAAATTCCACCCTTTGCAAATATGGTGCTTACCCTCCTACCAGCTTCTCGAGCCTCAGAAAGTGATGAGGGAAGCAGAGAAACTCTAGGCAGCCATCCTACCTGCTAGGGGAATCTCAAAGGTATTTAAAAGGTCTATGACAAGTCATTCTTCTAACTGCAACGAATGACTTTAGAAGTTGTCAGGAGTGAATGGAATTTTCTATTTTCTGGCCTGAGGTAAAACTTATCAGTAATTTCTTTATTTTTCATTATTGCTGCCTTCTGCTGCCGATGTTTTTTGTCTATTATGTTTAATAAATTTCTCAATCTTAGTTTGTGGTTTCACAGTCTCTTGATTTAGGTTCTCTAACTTGGCAGGGGCCTCAATTCTACTATCATTTGGCTTTCAGAATTTTTCCAACACAGATTTTGAACTTATGGACTTAATAAAGTAGGGAACCCTCCTTTTATACAATTTTAATTCTGGAAGTCAGGTGATTTTCAGACCTTCTTCTGAGACTAGCTTGACTATTAGATCATTTGAGAAACTGGACTTTGGGTCCAGATGGACTTGAGTTCAATTCTAGCCTTGCTTCTTAATAGGTTCAGTCACGGGCAAGGAAGTTACTTAATCAGAATGAACTTTGGAAGTGAAGTGAAAATGAAAACAATGCGTACCCTACCTCAGGGAGATTAAAAAAAGACCAAAGATAAGGTATTAACAGCTCCCAAGTACTCAATAAACAGTAACTATGCTTACAGTCTAGTTCCATTTGCAAAATTATGGGAAATACTGGAAAGGAAAGAAAGATGTAATGCAAGAAACTTGAGTTTCCAAGGTGAGCCATGACGGCCCACACACCCCAGGCTGGTTACCTTCAAATACTCTTTCTCACTCTAACTTGCAGCTTGTGAAGGAGGAAGAATCATTCCCAGTAGCAATTAATTTCAATTTTATACTGAAAATCAATAAGAAAATAAGATTTATTTTTTTAAGTTATTACGCAACCAACTTCACTGAAATAAATTCATTCTGTAAAATAAAAAATATGGCATTTAACATTTTTTACTTGGTAACTATTCATGTGTGTATGTGTGTGTATGTACTGTATACTCACACGGGTATTTATTGACCAGGGTTCAGATTCAACGAGGTAACCTAGCTCTTGGAACTAAGGTATTTAAACTCCACTTCTAGCTGACAAGTGGTTGCATGAAACACTCTCTTATTTAACAAAAGGTGTATTGAGCACCTCCTTATGCGACAGATTTGTGCCCTTCCCCGTTTTAGTGTTTGTCTCACGGTATCCTGACTGTAGTATTTACAGGTATAGGTCATATTCAGAGGAGCTGCGGTGAAACTCGGAAGTAATCTGGCCAATTGCCTCTATTTATTCATGGGCCAACTGAGGTGCAGAGAAGTTTAGTTGAATTTCTCAATGACACAATTATTAGAGTAGCTATGAAAGAAAGTCTTGAACACTGTTCCTCAACTTTGGCTGCACATTAGGATTACCTGAGGAAATTTAAAAAATATTAATGCCCAGGCTACACCCTAGACAAGTTAAGTCAGAATCAGCTTCCCAGTTGATGGTAATAGGCAAAATGAGGTTATAACCATTGCTCTATAGCAGTATGACAGTCATGCTGTTTTCCCTTGTGCTTAATTAGGTCACCAGCTAATGACAATTCAGATTCATATACAAAAGTGCTTAAAGAAATCGGAAACAGAAAAGTATAATTGTCATAAGCATTAACCTTTCCCTTCCTTCCCACTGCCACTGTTCTCAAACCCCCGCTTCCTGGAGCACTTTTTCTTGCAATTAACATCCTCACTGTCTTCTGGTACCTGCTGCCAGTCTATCCTTTTTTAGTGCCCCTTCTGTTGGTTACTCAGCAAGTTCATTGACTCCAAGATAAAGTCCTAAATACCTCATTCCAGCATTTAAGGCAATATAATCTGATCTTTAGTTATCTTTCCATCCTCGTTCTCCATTTCTCACAAAGGCCCACTCACCTGCCCCTCCCCTACAACTAACTTGTGCATAATTTTTTTGAAGCACACTCTCTTTTTTTCTCAGCTGAGCAAAATTCTTCCAGTCTTTCAAGTCCCAGCTGAGATGTCATCTCCATGATGCTTCTGTCAGCTGCCCTCTCCATATTTCTACAGTATTTCAGCACTATATTTTTTTACTTGATTGCATTTTTATTTCTTTGACATGTACATATTTGATAGTATGGTAGTTTTCTTTTTTTGGTAATATGTGCTTTTCCTTGTTTGGTTATAAGGTAGTACAATGCAGAGGCTGAATTTTATTCATATACTTACCCGTGTAATAGACCCATGATAGGGATTGACTGAATGATGACTTTTACTGAAATTAGAATACCATTTGCGTAGTGAGAAAAGATAGGATAAGTTAGGGAAAGATCAATCTTAAATAAGTATAGTAGGGCTCTATCTTTGCTTCCTCCACAAATGTTTCTTTTGCTGACCCTCAAACTAGAGACTTTTTTAAGTACTTTTCTTTTGTAGGTGAGATGCATAAAAGTACAGAAAATAAGATATGTTTGGGACAACTTAGAAGGACAGTTTCAAAAAATTGGGTAAGTTGTTTCAGCTATTGCATCCAAAGAAGAAAAAATATTATCTCAAAAATATTATTGTTAAATATGTCTTTCTTCTTATTTTATTATTTTAGCTCTTTGGAAAACTGGCTCAGTTCTGCCAAGATACATCTAAAATTTGGATCGGGTTTAACAACAGAAGAGCAGGAGATTAGGTACCATGCATATTGTTACCTATACTTGTTCAAAAGGACTCTTACCAGTTAGCCAAACAGGGAGCACGGTTAATAGTCAACTGGTCAATACCAGAAAACATTCTAATGCTCTACTTAGTAGTATTAAATGAAATGCTTTCACATATATTATTTTACTTTTCAGAGCAGCTTTGTGAGGCAGGTAGAATGGATACCCTCTTCATCCCAACATAACAGATGAGAAACCTGAGGCTCAGGGAGGTTTAAGGGTCTACACAAGATCACACAGATGGGAAATGATATAAAAAGAACTGAGTCTCACACTTCTGGCTATGGGTTTGTGCTCTATATTCTACACAAGGCTTCTCCAGATTATTATAATAATTAGGTTGAGCTATTTTTACTATAATCAGGAACTATATATTATACTATGATAACAGTTAAATAAATTCTGGAGCAGCAGAGGAATATCACTCTGGACCTTTAGCTCCATGATTCCAAATCAGTTATTGGGCAGAGGAGCAAGTTTTGGGAAAAACATTGGATTGAATGTCAAAAGTCTGTGGCTTTGGGCAAATAGATTCTCCTCTCTGGGCTTTCGTTCCTTAATGGTTAAAAGTGGGGAGAGAACTGTATAAAGGCCTCACTGTTTCTAAGTTTCTATGATTCTCACACTCCCCTCCACCGCACTTCCTGTACTTTGAATAGACCTAGGGCTTTGCATCATCAGCATCACCTGAGAGCTTGTTAGAAATGCAGACTCTTAGACCACATCTCATCTCTTCCGAATCAGAATCTTCATGTTGACAAGATCACAGAGTTATTCATACGGACAATGAAGTTTGAGAATCACTGTTATACATTGGCCAAGCTGTTTGATCTGACTATTTACATAGAAGTCACTAATGTTCTTAACAGCAAAATAGCTCATAAAGGATAATTGCTGTGATCATCAAAAAAAAAAACGCATCTCAGGGTTTTCAATGAAAGGGCTATATAACTCTGAGTAGAGCTATTTTTGAGAACACAACACCTTATCCCTCACATTGAGGCAAATTTTGCAGTTTCCTAGAACTAATTGAGAGTAGGAAGGTAGGTACAGTATTCCTTACCAGTAGAATTACTCTCTCCTACTGACCCTTCCCTCCCACTTCTATGGAGCCAGAGTTGGGCAGAATCAGAATTGAGAGAATGACAATCTTGAAACACTTGATGAGACAATTGCTAATATTAAATACACAAATTACCCTTAGGTAAATATTTAGATCTCAGGAAGAGTCTAGTTTAATAAATGCAATATCATCATATTTATTGTTTTGGCACCTAGTAACTCCCCCCACCTCAGTTATTTGAGAAAGATGTGGGTGTTATGTCATAAGAAAGGCTTACGTTAATCCCACAAGTGAGAAAGTGAACATGAAATAGAGCTTTTTTTGAATGGGCAAGAAATGAGTTTCATGTTTAATAGTAGTAATTGAGTGATCTGTGATCTCTTCCTATAGGAGGTTAATATGTGGGCCTAATACTATTGATGTTGAAATCACACCAATTTGGAAACTGCTCATCAAGGAGGTAATATTACTTTCTTTCAGTGCTGGATAAAAAATAAAGAAGTTTGGCTGTAGTCAAACAATCAAGAATGCTACTTGCTAATAGGTAACTGTAACTTGGGATGTTTTCAAAGAATGACAAATGTATTTTTTATATCACTTTCTACTCTTTTTCTTGAAGTCCATCTTTTGCACAAGTCCATTGCCTGGCACTGGATAAGATATGATGCTCATGTGTCTACTTAACCCCTACTTACTGTATAAACACAAATTCTTTTTCTTGTTTAATCCTTTGCTTCTTAGTCCATCTCAACTTTGAAAAATTAAAATAATTTAAAAAATTGAAAATCTATTCTTTTCTTATAGGAAACACAATTTCCTCAGCATCCAAAATTGTAGTAAGAAAAACATCTGTTTAACCTCATTAGTTCTACTTATCTCAAAGTGTGTTGGGGAGAAAGAGGAGCATTTGGCCATCACTTACTAAACTGAATTTTTCTTCTTTGGCTCTATCACTGGGCTTATTTTTTATTTTATAGTGATTACTATGAAATTATAACCACATATCTATGCTCTGGGTTTCCTCTTGCACTTTACCTCCACTCCTCCTTGCCTTAAAAAAAAAAAGCTTATAAGCTTAAGGTACTTCCTCAAAATTTCTAACAAGCTCTCAGGCATGAAAAAAAGCAAACAAAACTGGTAGTGGAAGTTCCTGTGTGCTTCTTCCCTAACCAGAGGCAGGGATTACCATTCCTGTTTTAGACAGAGGGGAATTGGGGTAAGGGCACGAAATATTTTCAACCAAGCAGGATTACAGCTGTTGGAGTTATCCTCCACTTTCTCCCAGTGTTCTAGATGCTCAGTTATAGCTTACCAATTGCAACTTGGCTATTTACTTATGAGAAAGGGTTGGACCTGGTGGGCAACTCAGCAAGCAATCCTGGGGAACAGCGAGGGAGCAGGGCTGCGGGTTGACTGTGGTCGGGCATTCGTGTGTGGATAGACAAGCAAGGAAGTGGGCGATTGGATGAGAGCCAGCAGTCCCAGCAGCAAGCTACGGAGGAGGGCGCCGCCACTTCCCCGCTCTAACTCCGCCTCCACATACAGCGTCACAATCCAGCGACCTGGGAGTCCAAGGCTCCGCTCCTCATACTTCACTGGCGCAAACAGACCAAAAATGGCTCAAGAAGATCTCAAAGCCCCAGAGCCTATAAATCTAAGCGATGAAGAAATAGCAAAACTCTCAGACGCACAGTTTAAAACACTGGTCATCAGGATCCTCACAGAACTGGTTGATTATAGCCACAAATTAGACAAACATATGAAGGCGAAACTAATTGAAATGAATGGAATTGCACAGGAAACCAATAGCGATGAAAAGGAAACTGGGACTCAAATCAACGGAGTGGACCAGAAGAAAGCAAATAATGGCCAAACAGAAAAGAATGAAGAAGCAAGAATTCAAAAAAATGAGGAGAGTCTTAGGAACCTCCAGGGCATCTTTAAACGCTCCAACATCTGAATTATAGGAGTACCAGAAGGGGGAAAGGAACAGCCACCAGTGGAAAACTTATTTGAACAAATAATAAAGGAGAACTTCCCCAATCTGGCAAAGGAAATAGACTTCCAGGAAATCCAGGAAGCTCAGAGAGTCCCAAAGAAGTTGGACCCAAGAAGGAACACACCAAGGCACATCATAATTATATTAGCCAAGATTAAAATGAAGGAGAGAATCCTAGAAGCAGCAAGAGATAAGGGGACAGTCACCTACAAAGGAGTTCCCATCAGACTGTCAGCTGACTTCTCAAAAGAGACCTTACAGGCAAGAAGGGGCTGGAAAGAAGTATTCCAAGTCATGAAAGGCAAGGACCTACAACCAAGATTGCTCTATCCAGCAAAACTTTCATTTAGAATGGAAGAACAGATAAAGTGCTTCTCAGATAAGATCAAATTCAAGGAGTTCATCATCACCAAGCCCTTATTATATGAAATGTTAAAGGGACTTATATAAGAAAAAGAAGTTAAAAAAATATGAACAGTGAAAGGACAACAAATTCATAGTTATTAACAACCACACCTAAAACAAAAGCAAACTAAAAGGACAGCTAGATCAGGAGTGGAAACATAGGAATGAAGATCTCAAGGAGGGTTAGCAACAGGGGAGTGGGAGGAGGAGAAGGGGGGAGGAGGTACAGAAAATAAGTAGCATAGACAGTAGATAGAAAATAGATGGGGGGCGCAAGAATAGTATGGGAAATACAGAATCTAAAGAACTTGAGACACATGATCATAAACTAAAGGGGGGTAATGGTGGGGATAGGGGGTAGGGTGGAGGGGAATGAAGGTGGGAATAGAACAACTGTAATGGCATAATCAATAAAAAATAAATTAAAAAATAAATAAATAAGGTAATTGTGGGAATTAAATGAGCAGATTCAAGCAAAGTTGCTTAATGCAGTACTTGGCACATGGCAATTACTGAATAAATATAACTAGAATAAGATTATTGTGTGGGATGATTTATATCATAGAGATGAGTGATAAAACAAATGTCAATGAATAGCTAAGTGTGAAGCCTCAATATCTTCTTTATCTTCTTGATTTTGTGTCTGCCAACAGGTTTTAAATCCATTTTACATATTTCAACTCTTCAGTATCTGCTTATGGTTTAGTGAAGACTACAAGGAATATGCTTGTGCCATCATAATTATGTCCATCATTTCCATAGCCTTGACAGTATATGATCTTAGAGAGGTAAGTTTTTTTTAGCAATCTTATGGTCTCAATAAGAGAGCAACTAGTAACTTTACTGAAATTTTGTTAGAAAGGAAAATCAAGAAATAATCATTGCCTGCGAATAATAAATGAGACCACATTTGTAAATGCCTAGCACAACAGCCAATGCTCAACAACTGCTAGTTCTTTTCCTTTTCTCACATTCCAGTTCCTAAACTTTCCAGTCATTTTTGCCCTCTCTTTGAATTACTCAGGCTGATTAGCCAGAAGGCTATGCACAGATTTATGAGTTGCGAATAAGTGGAAAAATATATCTAGAGAATACTAGATATATTCTAGTATATATGATGGATGTTGAAGATGGTAGAAGAGGGGTAGAAAGTGGAGGAGAGTCTCTTTAATATCAACTTGTTTTGCTTCTTATGGTTGGGTTGGTACTTACTTGTCAATATCCCAATTCATATCATTGGCTTTCTCTATGTCTACACCAGGGGATGTAGGTGATTTGGGGAGAAAAATCACATAGAATAGACCAGTTGGTTGCCCTATAAACCATGAATGCCCACACCATCCGGGCAAGCTTTCTATGAAAGTTCAGCCCATTCTTTGAAATTAAGATTTCAAACTGAATTTCTCTTCAAGTTTCTGAGATGCCTAGCTGCCCATATTCTTCTACTTTTCCTCTGATTCAGCAGATAATCTCACCACTTGTTTCATAAAGACAGAAACCATAAAATAGGATTTTGCTCAATTCCCCCCTTTCCAACTGCCAAATGACCCTTGTCTCCACCTCCATCCTGCCTTGATCTCTCATTAAAGAGGAGAAAGTGCCTTCTGCCTGTCTTGAGACCACATCCTCTCCAGCCTTCTCAGAGTGCTATTCAGTCTACAGGTGACCCCTCCGGCTCCTCCTCCTCCAGGCCTTCTCATCAGCACTTAGACATGCTCAGGCTTTTCCCAACTTAAAAAATAATGAAACAATCCCTTCTCTTGACCATTGTTTTACCTTCAGCTCCTACTCTGTCTCCCTTCTCCCTTTTACAGAGAAACTTCTTCGTTCTTTATGCATACTGTCATCCTTTATTCATCTGCCTCTCACCCTCTGCTGGTGCTGGCCTGGATTATTCTCTCATGACTCCATTCAAACAACTAGTTAAGGTCACCATTATGATCTTAAGGCCCATAGACAGTTTTACATTTAAAAAAATTTTTTTATAACTAGTCGTTTTTTAAAGATATTTAATTAATTTATTTTTAGAGAGAGGGGAAGGGAAGGAGAAAGAGTGGGAGAGAAACATCAATGTGTGGTTGCCTCTCATATGTCCCCTACTGGGAACCCGGCCTGCAACCCAGGCATGTGCCCTGACGTGGAATTGAACCTGTGACCCTCTGCTTCACAGGCCCATGCTCAATTCACTGAGCTACACCAGCCAGGGCTCTATAACTAGTCATTTTTAATAGAAGGCATAATATATATGAACATAATAAAAATTTTTGAACAGAATAAAACAGTGTAAATGAAAAATAAATATTCTTCCCACTTTAGTACTCCCCAGTGTCCAGGTCCCCTGCCAAGAGGCATCTACTGAGACCAGATGTTCTATATACTTTCAGTAACATTAAACACATACGCGTTCATGTTTTACACTAATGGAAGTTCACTATGTACACGATCTTCACTTGCACCTTTTTACTGAATAAATCTTGAATATCTTTCTATATCTGCACAAATCCATTTTCTCTAGGTGTACCATAACTTCTAAACCAGTTTTATGTTGATGGATATTAGGTTGTTTCTAGTCTTTTGCTATTAAAACAATACTGCAATGTATCTTTTCATGAATTCACATATGTGTGTTTATAAATATATACAAATTTCAAATATGTAATTTATATTACATATAAGTACATATGTATATAACGGGTATGTACATGCTTATCTGTGACTACATTGATATAAAGATATAAAGTTTCTAAATTGAGATTATTTAATCACGAGTTAGGTATGTTATTTTAGTAGATGTTGCCCAAATGTCCTTTAAACTAGTAATACCAGTTTACACTCCTACCAACAGTTGATGGAGTGTTTGTTTTCCTTATCTTTGCAAATATAAGCAAAAATAGAACCCCATAAATGTAATACAATATTCTCTACTCTGAGTTGAGCACTTGCTCATGTTTTAAGCAATTTGCATTTCTTTCACTATGAACTGTATTCTTGTGCTTCATTAAATTTTACTAGGTTGCTTGTCTCTTGCTCGCTGATTTTGCAGTCTGCTTCCTGCAGTGGACTTGCAGTCCCAGTACGGATTTCACTAAACTTCTCAGTTGTGTTTCACATGGTGAAGGGCTCCAGCGCCTCTTTACCACGTACTCCTCCTGTTTGGCTTTAGTGGAAGCACACTCTCCAGGCTCTCTAGTCGCTCTTCTCCATTTTCATTTAAAGTTTATCCTGCTGCACGCCACTGCTTTAAAAAATGGGTGTCTCAAAGTTAAAACAATATGAAAATGTATAGAATACATGTTTCATTTTATATATCTTGTATGTTCCATCTTTCTCTTCCCCTTTTACTTGTTCAATCACTTTTATAAGTTTCTAGAGAATTCTTCCAAAAATTTTTTTAGGCAATTCAAGCAAGGATACATATATAATTTTGTTTTTCTTGTTTTCTTATGTAAAGGTGGCAGGAGTATAGTATTTTCTACATAACTTTATTATTATTAATAATATGTCCTGAGGGTTTTTTTCATATGTGTACTTTGAGAGATTCTTCATTATTTTTGCAGCTTCATATACCAATGACTTCTAAAGGCATATGCTAATGACTTTTAAATTTATATGTATCTCAAGTCCAAATAGCTTTTTTGAGTTCCAGACTAAGATCCCACAGCCTATTTCATTCAGCATCACTCCTTCAGGAAAGATTTCTACTGCTTCCATTTGCTATATATACACCAAAAGCACCTGATGTTTTTTTTCCTCTTATTCCTGACTGTAATGATACATTTACATATATGGGTATTTGATTAAATATATTTCTCCCAGTAAACTCATTGATGATAAGAACCATTTTTTTTTGGTTGACCATTAATTCTATCCCCAAGTGTTAGTATATTCCTGGGCACATAAAATTTGTTCAATAAATATTAACTGAATGTATAAATGAATAAAAGAATGGGTTAATAGCAGAATACTCTGACTTTAACATTATCTATTCTGTTAATCATTTTTTGGAAATATTAATCAGATTTGTAAATAATTTAAAGCTAAGAGATTTAAGGAGTGTCTTACATGACAAAATCAGAATAAAAAATACACACTAAATAACAGGGACCTTCAATCCCCCAGACCCAGATAAAAGGTTTTTCACACAAAGTTGCCTAATAAATATGAAATAAAACATGCTTTATTATGTTTTTCTTTTGTTTCTTCTTATTGATTCACTCTTCATGTCCCATATATTTCATATATTAGAACAATAGATACTATAAGCAAATAGTAGAAACCACCAAAATTTTTATAAAGTTATGGATTGAGAACTCTGCTGTGGGATGTCCCAAAACTGGAATAAGTCTTAGTTCTTGAAGATATTTACTATAAACATATATCTGAATGATCAAAGTTCTTGATACTATTTATATACTAAAAAATAAAACACTAATTTATGGATATCAAAAACTCTTTTGTATGGAAGAGCATGCTGGGAAAATCCTTTCTACTAAAGAATATATACTTCTTATTGCTGGGAGAAGAGCACAAGTTGAAAGCTTTTATAATTGAGTAATAAGACGCTCAGTCTTGTTTTTAGCCAGTGCATTCACTTGGCAATAAGATAGTGCTCAGTCTTCATAGAAGGCCAGCACTTTACTGAATAATACCTGGGACCAATCCTCAAATAAATATGCCTCTTTCTATTTTCCCTCTTTTTCAGCAATCTGTAAAACTCCACCGTCTAGTTGAGTCACACAATAACATTACAGTCTCTGTATGTGGGAGAAGAGGTAAGTGCCATTATTTTCAATCTATGTATTGTCTATATGGAATCAGAAAAAGATTTAAATTTGTATTTCTAATGTCTCCTACTACTCTTTCCATCTCTTCCTGTGCATTTACTTAAAGAGATAAGAAACTGGAGGTCTTTTCACCTAAACAACAACAACAACAACAACAATACAGTTTTATTGAAGTAAAACTGACATACTATAAACTGAACATTCTTTTTTTTTTTAAATTATTTATGCATCTTTAGAGGGGAAGGGAAGGAGAAAGGGAGAGAAACACCAATGTATGGTTGCCCTTTGCGCATCCCCTGCTGGGAACTGGCCTGCAGGGAACCAGCCTGCAACCCAGGTATGTGCCCTGACTGGTAATCGAACCTCGATTGTCTGGTTCGCAGGCCCGCGCTCAATCCACTGAGCTACACCAGCCAGGGCTTAAACTGAACATTCTTAAAGTACACAATTTGATAGTTTTGATACACACCCCCAAGAAATTGTTACCACAAAGACAATGACTGTCCATTATGCCCCATAGTTGCCATGTGCCTATTTGTAATCTTCCCTTTCACCCTTTCTACTTATCTCCATCCTCAGGCAACCAGTCTGCATGTTTACAGTTTTATATAAATTGTATTGGTATTGTACAGTATGAATTTTTTGTCTTCACAGTATATTTGGGGTTAATTTTATTGGGATTAATGTTTGTAAATATTTTGAAACTTATCCATTTGTTAAGTATATCAATAGTTCATTTTGTTTTATCCCTGAGTAGAATCCCATTGTATAGATTTGTTCATTCATTCACCTGTTGATGGGAATTTGGGTTGTTTCAAGTTTTTGGCAATTACAAATTATGCCACCATGAATGCTTGGGTTCCTTTTTATGGACATATACTTTATTCTTATGGAAAAATACCTAACTGTAGAATAGTTGGATCATCTGATAAAAAATATTTAACTTTTGAAGAAAATGCTGAATGGTTTTCCAAAGTGGTTGTGCCATTTCATACTCCTACCAGCAATAATTGGGTGTTCCATGTGTGCCACCGTTTTTCCAACACTTGATATGTTATGCTTTTTAATCTTAGCCATTTTAACAGGTATGTGGTTAAATCTCAATGTTGTTTTACTTTGCATTTTCCTAATGACTAATGGCACTGAACATCTTTTTAAGTACTTGTTTGTTACTTGCATATCTTCTTTGGTGAAGTGTCTGTTCAAATCTCTTGCTTATTAAATTATTTTCTTACTAAATTTTGAGAGTTCTTTCTGTAGCTTAGATTCTAGTCCTTTATCAGATATGAACTGCAATTGTTTTCCCGGCCTATAACTTATCTTTTCACTTTCCTCACAATGTCTTTCAAAGGACAGATGCTTTTGTTAAAATCTAGTTTATCAAATTTTTTGTGGGTCATGTTTCTGTGTAATATCTAAGACATCTTTGTCTAGGCCAAGGTCAATCAAGGTTTCTGTCTAGAAGAAACCTTTATGTTGCTGTCTAGAAGTTTTATAGTTTTAGGTTTTACATTTAGGCTTACATTGCATTTTGAGTTTTTTTACATTGATGTTCATTTTTTTTGCAAATATCCAAATGTTCCAGTACCATTTGTTGAAAAGACTATTCTTTCTCCATTGAATTGCCTTTTCAGTTTTGTTAAAAATCAGTTGCCAGTACATGGACAGATCTGTTTCTGGCCTCAATCTATTCTACTGATCAATTTGTTTGCCTTTATACCAATTCTTCACAATGTGGCTTTATGATAAGTCTTGAAATAGAATAATGTTAGTCCTCTAATTTTGTTATTCTTTTTCAGAGTTGTTTTGATAATATTGGGCCCTTTGCATTTACAATAAATTTGAGAATCAACCTATCAATTTCTACCAAAAAAACTACTCCATGTTGAATCTAAAGACCAATTTATGAAAAATCAACATATTAACAAATTTGGTTCTTGTGACCCACAGACATGGTACATCTCTCTATTTAGGTCTTCCCTTTTTTTGAGGTTTCAGTGGATGGGGTTTTCAAATTCTTTCTCAGATTTATTCTTAAGTATTATATATTTTGATGCTATTGTGAATTATTTTTTTAATGTAACTATCCAGTTGTTCATTTGCTAATAGTTTCCTTATATGCATGCGTTGATTACGAATCTGCTGAATAATAAAGGGGGGTTCTCTGCAAGTCTTTCTGGCTCTCCCTCCGGGCTGTTAAGTTCTCTCCAGTACTCTGTGCTATGAACTTGTCACCTTAATCTCTGTAGACTCTTACCTCTGTACTGAACTCAGGGCTTCTCTGACCATGATCTGGTTCCCCCTCCTCTGTCATGGCCTGGAAATTCTCTAAAGGCAGTAAATTGAGCAATTATAAGTAACCTTTATTTGTTTCCCTTTTTTTTTTGCTTTAGTTCAGTGTCTAAAAACCATTGTTTCATGTATTTTTATGATTTTTGGTTGTTTTAGGTGGGAAGAACAAATGTGGTCTTTTTTGTTACATCTTGGCTGGAAGTGAATCTTTACCTTTTAAAAATGTCCTGGGCATTTTCTTATGATAAAATATTTTGAACATATACAACAATGGAGAGACTATGATAATGAAACGTCATGTAACTATCACCCAGATTCAATGATTATCAACTCATTGAATCTTTTTTCAGCTGTAGAACTTCCTCTTTCACCTTGGATTATACTGAAGTATTCCAGTTGCTTTATCATTTTATTCAAAACTATTTTAGTATATACCTAAAAGATTAAGACTCCTTTTCAATTCCTTTGTCACATCTAAAATAAGCCCCTCATAATTTAAGAAATCATCAGTGCTTAAAATTCATCAATTGAATCAAAAGTGTTTATTGTATACACACACACACTTATGGTATATGTATATATGATGCATTATATATAAAATTTTAAATTAGTATCCAAATAAAGTCCATATAATGCAATTGTTTGATAATTCTCAAGTTTATTTTGATCCATACTTTCCTCCATATCTTCTTTTTTCCTTGTAATTTAAAAAAATTAAACTTATTGGGTTGACATTGGTTAATGAAATTATATAGGTTTTAAGTATACAATTATATGGTACATCATTTGTATATTAGCATATTTTTCAGACCATAACACACACCTAGGTTTTAGAGGAAGAAAATAAGAAAAAATTTTGAACCAAAAATGTGGTAAAGTATTTAATAACATAAATAACATAATATTTCACCAATGTAAATGTAAACAGAAGTCAACAGCAGCTTTAACAACCATTATTCCTCCAAAATTTGGGGGCAGGGATGTGTGTTTTATAGTCCAAAAAATATGGTACATTGTGTGCCCACCACCTAAAGTCAAATATTCTTTCCTTGCAATTTTTTTGATGAAGGAAATAACTAGCTCATTCTTTGGTTTCCACAGTTTAGATTATATGGACTTATTTAACATAATTTCGTATTTCTTGTATTTTCTATAAACTAGTCAGATCTAAGGTTTGGGTCTTGGCAAGAATACTTCTTAGTTGATATTGTGTACTTCTAATGAGAGGTACATGATACCTGATTGTCTTTGTGTGTGTGTGTGTGTGTGTGTGTGTGTGTGTGTGTGATATCAGCAGACATAAATGCTCATGATCTAGATTTATTATTTGACTCGGAGTTTCAAATTTCTACTTCTATCATGCCATCTTTATATATTAAGTGGAATATTTCTACAGATACTCTAAAAAATTATTTCATTATCCAGAGATTCAGTTTAAGAAAGTATAAAATATCTGGCTATTCCTCTTATTTAGCATCTTTCAGAATAACAAGTTGGCCCTCTAGGACTTTCTAAGATTGTGTGTGTTTAACATAATGTTAAACATGGTTGATACATTTCCATTCATTGCAATTTTTATTTTTATTCTTGCTCAAATTTTCCCATCTTTGGCCATTCAGAGCCTCTTTAGGTTAGCTCCTGAATTCTTTTTACATGATCCTAGTATTCTTTGAATGTTTTAATGATTTCTGGTATAACAAGGTATTCCAAACTCATCTTGAATAATTTCTGCTCTTAAGTGAGGCAACACCCATCTTTCCAGGGAGCTCTTAGATATGGTACTTAGACACTTCAATCAGAGCATTAGGAGTGCTCATTTCCATAGTGTTACTAATTGTTTCTAGACCTTTTCAGAAGATATACCTATAAAATGATATTTTAAAGGTAAAATGCATTATTAGTTCATACTGACATTTCCAATTCAAATTTAGAACTATGGGTTTTTACTTACCCTTGTTGATTGTATTTCTGTCTCTCCTTTCTCCATACCTAAAGTCCCAATTCTCAATGATAGCAAGTTTCTGTCTCATTTTCTCTATCCTGTTGTATACAATAATCTCAGAATAACAAACCAACACACCCAACACCAGAAGACTTTTTAAAGTTCTTCTTTTCCCCTGTTTGTGATATACCATTAAGAATGTGCAATGAGGTCCTGGCTAGTGTAGCTTAGTGGACTGAGCATGGGCCCATGAACCAGAGGATAGTGGTTCAATTCCCAGTCAGGGCACATGCCTGGGTTGCAGGCCAGTTCCCAGCAGGGGACACAGGAGAGGCGACCATACATTGCTATTTCTCTCCCTCTCTCCTTCTCTTCCCCTCTAAAGATAAATAAATAAAATCTATATTAAAAATATACAATGAAATTATAGTGTTTTAAAAATCATATTTTAATAAATAAATCAAACCATGGGAGGCTTGACTTATAAAAAATCATATTTTAAAGTCACTCAAAATATTTATTTTATGTATGGTTATACCAACAACATAATAGATTCATCTCATTTACTGTGCTTTAGACTTTTAGTGTCAGCTTTCAAAAATTATTTTTGTGTTAGTTTGTGCATACATCATATAAAACATATACATGGTTTGAAAGTTAACTCCAGAAGCAGAAGATATTCAGGTGATTCTAGTCTCCATCCCCTTTCTCTCTGCCTTATGTACTCAATCTCTCTAAGTTATCATTTTTATTTGTTTATGGTTTATTTTTACATTTGTAAAAAATGAAAATGACATACAATATTTATAGCTATATTTACAGAATAAGACATATATTTATACTGCTATTTTTAGGTAACGGGTATAACATACACATTTAACTTTATTTCCTGGTATGTATGCTTTACATACTTAACTGTGTTTCCCAGAGACCCTTTCACAGGAAGATACGAGACATTCTTCATTCATTGTGTCGGCTACATCGCCCTGTCTTGTGTGGGGGAATCGTTTACTCAATCGGTCCTTTATTGAAGGATTTTTTTTCTCAGTTTGTTACTATGACAAATAGTGCTATATAAAAAGACCCTTGTGCTGTCTTTTTATACTTTGTTTTTTGGTCTTTGCATACCTTTGCCAGTCTACCTTCGGTATAGATTTTGAAAAGTAAAATTGCTGAGTCACAGAATAAATGCATTTGCACTCTGGCACTGACTGACAGCTGTCAGAGGGGAGGGAGGCAGAGGGGACAGGATGAAATAAGGTGAAGGGATTATCCAAAGAACATGTACACATAATTTAGGGACATGGAGAACAGCGCCCTGATGGTCAGAGGGGAGGGGGTGGGGAATGGGTGGAGACAATCAAAGCAGGGGGAGAATGGGGACATCTGTGACATCTGTGATAGGGTCAACAATAAAAATAATGATAAAAATAAAAAGTAAAAGATAGATATTGCCAAATTTCTTTCCTTAGACTTTGTACTGGTTTGCATGTGCACCTGAAAAGGGCGAAAGTGCCTATTTTCTCACAGCCTTGCCACAAGACAATGCTCGCAAGCTTTTAGATTTTTCTAATCAGACAGGCGAGCAATGTTATCTTCTGTATATTTTTCTTTCTTTTTTTAACTTAGGGATTTATTGCAAGACTAGTTCAAATCACTTTTTTTCTGAGCTATTTGAGAATAAGTTGCTCACATGTGGCTCCATAACCCCCATACTTTACTATATATTTCTTAAAGACAAGGTGATTCTATATAACTGATAGTACGAACATTAACATGGAGTGAATATTGATACGTTAATACCAACAAATGCTCAGACTCGTTCAAACTGCACCAACTGTCTCAGCCACGCTCTTTAAGGAAAGAAGTCAGGATTATACAACAGTGCTGTTTGCAACGTCCCTTTAATCTTCATTTTTTTACCTTTGACTTTCATGACCTTGATTCTTTGATCTGGTTATTTCATAGACTGTCCCCGAATTTGCTTTTGTGTGATGTTCCCTCATAGTTAAATTCACGTTATGCATTTTTTTAAGCTGGAGTATCACAAAAGTAATGCTGAGTTCTCACTGCTTTCTCTCCTGTGGTGCATAATTTAAACTTGTCCTGTTACTGGTGATTAACTTGGATTACTTAAATAAATGGTGTCTGCCAGATTTTTCTATTGTAAATTTACTCTTGTAATTAGTAGTTACTTCCCCCGTATCAAATTTTTACCCACTATTTTTAGTATCCATTGATGTTTCTTGGCTAGAATAATTATTGCTTTGATAGTTGGTATTTTTCCTTCTACATGAATGGATTGACATTTATACCTATGTTATTCCTTTGTCTGTTGAAAATCACCCATTTATACTATTGTCTTCAATTCAATGAAGCCCACGGAGTACATTCAAGTTTTATATTTGCCTACGTATAACTTTCTTTCTTCAGTGAGAAACCTGGCTCCCACCAGCCTCTTTATATCTGATTATTATCAGTCTCTCCCCCCTCTGCACTCCAATGCTGGGACTCCTGTATCCATCCAATACCAAACCGCTGCCACCATGGGGGCCCTCTGCTCCCTCCTGGAGCTCTGATGCCCTGCCTCCAGCCATCCTCCTTAGGTTCCAACCCCCGCAGCAGGCTATCAGCCCCATCCCCACCTCACCTAGCTCCCTGCATGGATGTCTATTTTCCTTAACCACTTATAGCTTTGGGGCTGAAGAAGGAAGGAGAGAGGTAACGGAAAGCAGGAAAGAAATAAGGAAGAAATTTTCATTTATCTTATTATGAATAACGATGAGCATCTTTTCAACTGTGTAACACACCCTTTGCAGTTTGTGTGTGTGTATGTGTGAACTATCTGTTAGCATCTCCATCAATTTGCTATACAGTCATTTTCTACACATCTAATTTTTTAGGAACTCTATATATTAGGAATATTAATCTTTTTTATATAAGTTTCAAATGTGTCTTCTAAATTTGTTATTAGCTTTTTCTTTGCATTTTTTGGCAAACATTTTTTTATTTCATGTAATTGAATTCGTTGTTTTTTTTCTCATTGTTTCTGGATTTTGATTCAATGTTGAGCAATAACCTTCTGTTTTAAATGCCCTGTTTGCTCTTTTACTGATTTCAAATTTAGGCAGTTTTGTAGGAAAAGAAGTGGACTCAACTCTCTTCTCACACTTACAGCTGGAGTCAGAGAGCTGGCAGCGCGCCTCCTGGTCCCCGGAGATCTGTTAGTTCTGACAGGGAGCAAAGTGCACATGCCGTGTGACGCGGTTCTGATTGACGGCAGCTGCGTGGTGAATGAAGGCCTGCTGACAGGTGTGGTTCTGCCTCACCTCTTCCGCTTCCCCAGCTCTCCCAGGCACCTCCTCTGTGGGGACGACGATGGCAAGGTGTAGGGCTGCCGGGGCCCCTTCCTATTCCCACGGATCTCATGAACCATTCTGCCCCAGATCTGTCTGAGAATTCAATTCACAGCTGCTCTCTACGAACTAAGTGTGACACAGTGGTCACTTTTGAGCTTTTAGCATTTCCTTCTTGAACAAAGGGTTCTTACGACCCTGTCATTTTACCTTAAAAGGTAAAGATTGTAGAGATCATTAGATATTTCAGCATTATCTGTGGCTTTTCTGTTTACTCATTTTACATAACATTTGTCTTCAGATAAGCTTGGAGGGCTTAAAAACAATTGAAGAACATCCTGAGAACCACGGAGCTAAGTCCAAGCTCTCCCTAGTTGGCTTAAAAATGTTGAAAAGGTTCATGATGCAGGATTTGGCAAACCTGGGTATTTTGGACTTACTGTATTTCATTTTTAAATAGCATGCTGGGGCTGGGGGGGCCCTTAGAAGCCATCGCAGCTCATTGGTATTAAAACTGAGGTATAGAGAGGAGAAGTAAGTTGCCCAAGATCGCGGTGCTCTGAGGTCTCCTCGCATATGCATTATTAGGAGCTGTGCCAGTATTTCTGTAAGATACAGAAGAATCATAAAGTCTTTCCGAGATGAAATGGCAGGCCACAAATACACAGAGACATACTGTGATTCCCACTGAAGTCTAAATCAAATCCCTTTCTCTTGGGCAGACCAGAAAGGTATGCAATAGCAACACACACCTCTCTCCTATGTTAACTTACCGAAACAAACAAAGAAGGCAAAGAAAACATGGCAGGAATGGTTCCTTACTTTAAGGAATCCATAGATTTATAAGCACCCCTCAGTGCTCAGACTTTTGCAATGCCAAGTTCCATTTTCCTAATGGAAGTGGCCTTATTGTACCAGAACGTGTGTCGGACTCTGTACCGCTCACTCCACAAAGACCAGTCAGTGGAAGGCTTTACCAGCTTTGTTCCTCAGAGGCCATTGCTGCTTCACAACTTCATTGCCACTTGTATTGGCACTTCAACTCACTGCTGTCTGCCCCTCCCCCTGCACTGGCAAAAGTCTCTAAGGCCTCAATTGACAAATCCAATGGGTTCTTTAACTTTCTCATTTCACTGACCTCTAGGTTGCTGGTGTCTATTCTCATCATCTCTTTCTTCTGAAAACGCTCTTCTCCCTAACTTTCCAAGACAACGCTGTCTCTCCAAGTTCTTCTGCCACCAACTCCACTGTTCAGCTTCCTGTGCTGTTCCTATTCCTCCTTCTCTTTGATTTTTTGCTGCTATGTCCCAGTCCTTTGATCTTTTCACCCTACATTCAGTCCCCAAGTACTTTTTTCATTATCTTTATTATTGCCTCTAAGGTAATAAACTCTGACTAAATATCATTTGTCAAACCTCTCCCCTGACCTCCAGACCCAAATATATTTCTAGCCAGCTCCAAGGCATCCCATTCCACAGGTGTCTCCAACTCACCCTGGTCAGAAGGCAATTCCTCCTTCCTCCTGTAATCCCTAAATTAATGCGCAGTGGCACCCTCTGCTCATTCTCCTGGTTGGAAACCAGGTCAGGCTGCTTTAAATTCCTCTGTCTCTCTAACCTGCACATATTAAAATCTCCCCCAAGTGTTGTGGCTTCTTACTTCCTTATTTCTCAAATCCAGCACTTCCTTTCTACTCCCGCTGCCAACTGCCATATTTCAAGCCTCATCTTCTCCAGTGAGGGTTCATGTGATCATTTTCCAACTCAATGTCCAGCCTCCAGCCTCACCAGACTTCAGTTCATTCCCCATGCTGCAGAGAGAGTGCACTCTCTTATACATTAACATGATACACTCTCCTAAATAAAACAGTTAAACATCTCCCCACGTGTCTATGGAAAAACATTGAAACTCTGAGACATGTGTGCTTAGGGCCCTCCAGGCTTTGGCTCTTGCATAGCTCTCATAGTCCATTATTCCCGGCACCCCATACTCTAGACCACACAATCTGCTATTCCCTCCATGGTTATTTTCAGCCTATTTCAGCACCCATGTTTGATTTTATAATACTCATAGTATTTATATTTATTTGTTCACATGTGTGTGTCCCTCTCTGGGCCATGAACTTCTTAAAAGCAAGCGCTACCTTTCTCCTTGTATTCCCGATATCTAGGGTTGTCCCTGCTACATGGCAGGCTCACCACAACCGCTCTACTAAAGGATGAGCAAGTGTACACATTATTTAAATGAGTGAATAATGTGCCACTTGTTTTCTGTAGGAGAAAGTATTCCAGTCACTAAGACTCCATTACCCAAGATGGACAGCTCTGTGCCCTGGAAAACGCAGAGTGAAGCTGACTGCAAACAGCACATCCTCTTCTGTGGAACAGAGGTTATCCAGGCCAAGGGGGCTTGCTCTGGGACCGCGAGGGCAGTGGTACTGCAGACCGGTTAGTGAGCATCTCTTCCTTCATTTTGTTATTTTAATAAAATGTTTTCGTTCAGTCTGTCTAGTACCTTAAATTTATTAGGCAAGAAGCAGTATTTAGATAACAAATCAAATATATGAATACTATATATTTTACTGTGAACTGAACTATGGTATATGCCTTTTGGAAATAATAATACTGATGACAATAATTACTTTTTATGTGCTTTGTAGTTTATAAACTATTGGCACATATATTTGCAGAACAAAGGTGCTATTGTCTCTCCTTTCTGCATGAGTAGTCTGGGGACCACACAATTCAAGTGAACTTGAACAAATTATACAGCCAGTAACTGGAAGAGTAGGACCTGGAACTCAGGTCTTCTAACCTCAAATCCCAAGTTCTTCCTAGGTAGGACTAGAAACCGAAAACTTGACGTTGAAGAGTACTAGAAATGAGTCCAACTGTATTTCCTGGGCCATTTAGTTTAAATTTAAGTGACTTGTGTGTTGTGTGCATTCTCATAAGTTGTTTCCTTAAAAGGAAGCTACATTTGGGAAAGCTGTGTTCTGCCCTCAGGACAGGCTTTCCTATCTTTGGGATGCATTGAAATTGAAAGTGGAGGGATGGAAGGCCAGAATAATAGGCTCTGAAATAGGTATTTCCATTCTAGTCCTTAGATATTTTCCCAATTATCCTGTAACTGCATTTGAGGTTAAACACTGTTGTCTCTGGAGAAAACAAGGGCAACGCTGAGGTTTAGGAAAGCACTAGCAGTAGGATTTGCCATCCTCAGAGGTGGGGTGTGTGCTTACTGCTTCAGGATTCAACACTGCAAAGGGGGACCTTGTGAGATCCATTCTGTACCCCAGGCCGATGAATTTTAAGCTCTACAGGGATGCCATCAGGTTCCTCCTGTGCCTCGTGGGGACTGCCACCATTGGGATGATCTATACTCTGTGTGTCTACGTGCTCAGTGGGGTAAGCTGCTTTTTGGTACTTTCCTGTATGCAAATATACATTCACTCATGTCTGTTTCACACTCCACATGTTGACCTTAATGTAGGTTTGGGTTACAAACCTGGGAAACCAAGCCCAACACTGAAACTGGCCTATATACCTTCAGCTCCCCAAAACAAGCAGTTGATCACCAACACTCATACTAACTCTGAGACCTAATGGGATAAAATCTGTTATTTATTGAGATATCGACATGCATTTACTCTTGCACACTATTTCCTTGTACCATTTTAAACCTGAGAATATAGTTATTCCAATAAGGTAGTATTTTGTAGCTATGAAGTGGAGAATTTTCATTAAAACACAGACACTCAGCGTTGGTGATACCTGGCAAATTGGTATATGGTTCTCTACTCATAGCATATAAATCATTACAAGCCTTTTTATTGCACTTTGACAAAATGCATTGAGAGCCAAATCATGTTCATACCTTTTGACCTATAGATGACATGCTCATATTATTTCTAGAAATTTGACCTAAAGAGTAAACAAAAATAAGGAGAACGTCATATGCCCAAAGCTGTTGATGACCGATTTATCTGTAATAGTGAAAGAGGGACATATCTTCCAGGAATCCCCTGAAGAGGTGGTGAAGAAAGCCTTGGATGTCATCACAATTGCAGTTCCTCCTGCTCTACCTGCTGCCCTGACCACAGGCATTATCTATGCCCAGAAGAGGCTAAAGAAGAGAGGCATCTTTTGCATCAGTCCCCAGAGGATCAATGTATGCGGGCAATTAAACCTTGTCTGCTTTGACAAGGTAGGTGTGTTTCAGCCTCAGTCTCACCCCATTTTTATCATCATTGTCATCATGTATAAATGCTTTACACTCCTGTGAAGCAGGAAATACAGGATGTGCATGTCTGACTTCATTTTATCCCTGGTTGGCTGTGTGACCTAGGAAGGATACGTCTCTTGAGCTCTCAGATTCTAGGGTTTAGAGAAGGAACAGTAGCCACTGCATGAGTGAATCTTTTAGGATCCTTCCAACTCCAGTAGTCTGTGAAAAGCAAATAATTAAAATAGCATTCTGTCTACTGTCAAAGCCCTCAGAGAACAATATTTAAACCTTTCAAATCAATACTATTTTAGGTCAATACTATGATCACTGCTCTCTCTAATGCTAAGAATATTGCCTGGTGTAGTCAGTGCTCAGTAAGTCTTAGTGAGTGAATGAATGAATGAATGAATGAACAGGGAGACTTCATTTAGTCTTACTATGAGGGTTGGTTATAATAAAAACCCCATCAAACCTGTACTACATTTTCCCATCTGCAATGTATTGCTTATATGCTGGGGCGAAGGTAGGAGGTATGAGAGGAAAAGATGAAAATGAAGCGCAGTTTTGTGCCTGGGCCTTAATTTATAAAGGTGACTGAGTGGTGATGGGAAGAGGTCAGTGCCACTGAGAGGCACGTTTAACGGTACGGTCCCCTAGGGAAGAGAGGCCTGGCTCACCACGCAGAACCACAGGAAGATTGCCATGTTCCGATCAGCCAGCAAAGTGGGCAGAGGGGACTGCTTAGGAAATGGCCTTTGTTAGAATTTTTTGCAGGAAACACAAGACAAGGCAGAATAAACATCTGACAGTTGGTTAGTTTGAATGATTTTGGTGAGCTTTGGGCTACAGAGATGGCCCCTAGTGGTCTGGTACCTGGCCCTGGCGTGATTAAGGAAGAGAAATGAATATTGTCTCCTGGGAAGTGTGGCCAGAGAGAGGAGGTTTGGCTGCCCATTGGTCAGTTTGCACATCAAAGACACACTCTTGCCTGAGTCCCTTTCTATTTTTAAGAATTGCCAGCCCCAGAGAAGCAGTCTCTCTCCAGTTAGAAAGGTTTTTAAGATGTCAAAACATCATAATGTAGAACATTTAAAAAATACGTGCAATACAAAGGCATTATGGGCAGGAGAATATGGGCAAGGGCACAGGGTCCAGAGAGCACTGGAGTGCGGTTTTGACTGGAGCAGGACTTAGGTAATGGGAGAGGGTGTTTATAGACCTTGAGTATCTGGCTAAGAAATTTTTACATACTCTTCAGGCAGTGGGGAGCCATGGGAGGTTTTTATTTTTATTGTTGCTTTTTTTTATTGTGGTGAAATATCCATAACATAAAAGTTACGATTTTTTACCTTTATCAGTGGCTTCAAGTGCATTCAAATTGTAATGCAACCATCAACACCACCCATTTCCAGAACTTTATTCTCCTTCCCAAACATAAAATCCGTACTCATTAAATAGTACATTGAAAGGTTTTGATAGCAGAGAGCTAATGAGATCAGAGCTGTATTATGAAATTGTTGGATTATGAAGAACAGATTGTCCTTGGACTATGAGATGTACCTTGGACTGCTGAGAACTAAAGGTTGGCATCGCTCTTCCCACCATTTCAGTATCATTTTGTGATCAAACTTCCATCATAAGGAAAGATGCTTAATTTATGACAACATACCATCCTTGGACTTGGAAGGAGAAAGGGGATGGGAGAGATAATTGTGACCAGAATTTGAATATAAAATAAATAATTATGAGTAATTATCATTACAATTCACGCTTACTCTGTGCCAGACATTAAATTGAGTTCCTTATTTGTATTATCTCATTTGATCTCCACAACCACCATATATGATAATAGCCATGTTACAGGTAAGGGCTCGACATTTACAGGATTTCAATGATTTGCCCAGATCACACCCCTGGTGTTTTAACCCAGATAAGCTCTGCAATATTATGCTGCACGGAGAGAAATACCAGATACCTTTTAACCAAATGTGTATGAAAAAACAAACCACTTCTTTAGAACAATAAAAATTCTTCTATCTCCATTACTTACTTGTGATGACAGACCTTTCACTCCTGCTACAAAAACTGGGACTCACCTACATTACAACTCTTAGAGGCTTACCAAGTACCTTCCCATTTATTTAGTCTGCCCGTAGAACCTCAAAACAAGCCTCTGAAATATGTAAGGCAGATACGGTTTTCTTCCTTTTATTGCTGAGAACACTAAAGTACAAAGAGATTAAATGTACGAAAGAACTCATCCAAGCTTCCCCCAGGAGTCCATATACCCACCTTACTGTGTTCTCACTTGAAATGCTGATGTCGTTACATTTTGTGGTGTATAGTTTTCTATTAAAACATATCATATCAGTCTTTATGGTGGGAGCTAGATCTTCAGAATAAACTGAGTGCTTGTTTCTGTTTAGACAGGCACCTTAACAAGGGAGGGCTTGGATCTCTGGGGAGTCGTGCCCTGTGATAAGAATGGGTGAGTACTGTCCGCCTGAAAACATCTAAACCTGTAGAGATTTTTCCAAGAGTTTATTTGAGCCAAAACTGATGCCAATTGCTTGGAATCAAGATCTCAAATGCTCTGGAGAGTGCCAGTTCAGCAGTTTAATGCCTACGAAATTAAGAAGGGAATGTAGGAAGACTATATAAAGGTCGGAGAAAACAAGGCTGGGATTGAATTACAGGATGGTTCGCAAGATTCTGTGCTCTCCTGAGGGCGGCTACTTCAAAGGCTTATTTCAAAGGTCCATTAACCTACACGCACAACAACCCCCCCCCCAACAACAACAACAACAAAACAATGGGCAGGGCTTGCCTAAGGCAAAGGTAAACCTTTTACTAAAGAAGTTATGTGCCTGGGGCGTGACTACCCACCATGACCTGCTCAGTTAAGAATTTATAATCAGATCACCAGGAGGTTACCTTTCACAGAACCCCTTTATCTTCCATAGTACCTTGAACTAAATGCACTAGTTTCCCTTTTCCCAGAATTCTGTGCTTTTTCGTGAAAACTAAAAATAGAAACAATTAGCTTTGGCTTTGGTGAGCAGTGTTTGCCAGGGTAGCTTCATTTAATTTCACCTCTTAAACACTTTCATTAATACTTTGTGCTAAAACATGTACATTTCCCCCCACCCCAGCCCCTGCCACGTGCTACATACAAACCCAGGAGATGAAGGAGTTTTTACGGTGCATTCAAATCCTTGCTAAAATGTAATTCGTAGTTGGCATTTTAGTCCCTAGCCCGAAGTTGGCCCAGTGCATCTAATTGGAACAATACTGCCCCTCAGGGAAGTACCGTTCCTTGAACAAACAGAAGTCTCTCGGTGTGCTAGAAGGAAGGACAGCGTACTCACCTGGGTACTCTGACTTTCAGTAAGAGGTTCATCTGTGCAGTTGGAGCAAGTGTGCCCATTTTCCTTGGTATTCTACTTCTGAGAACTTGACGTTTTGGTGGCCTCCGGACGCCCCGGTTTAGGCAGCTTTCAGCTCCAACTGCTGAAGGCTGGCATGTGCTCTCCTGAGGCCCTCTAGTGGCCGCACCTGGATTTCCCCCTGCCTGTTTTTCTCTCTTCCACAACTGCGATTGTGATCAGAGCAGGAAACATTCGGCATTTACTTTTTTTTTTTTTTAATGAAGGTATTCTCACTTACAAACTAAATCACAAAGCATTTTATTCATAAAAGGTCCGTAGCAGTTCTTCTGCATTGTACCAATAACATAAAACTTATCCATACAAAAGAAAATATTTTAATTATAGATGTCATACATATTTATATTAAAACACGACTATAAAATATTTATAAACAAATCAATTTCCTGGGTAAAAAAATTCATCTTACTACTTCTAACCACATTAGTCTACAGAAGAAGCCTTTCATAAACATATACTCTCTGAAGTTCTTTTCATTTTCCCTTGAAGGAGGATTTAGATATGTACCTGGTTGCTTTGTTTGTTTATGTTTGTCTGTTTCAGCTTCCACAGAATGTGTGTGCATTTACCAAAATATGTGAGCATCTGGAGAGCTGTTCTTTCCTGACTTGTATTTGTGCCCTAATGCTGTAGTACCACACAAGGCAGGCACGGACAGATCCTCTGTGTTTGCTCATCTAAGACTGACTAAGGGTGTTCCACCTTTTGAATGCTATTCCGCTGAGTGAATTGGCATCAAACATATTTACCAAACTTTTTATTTCTAAATGTAACTTGTCAAATTTAAATTAAAATAAATGATTTGATATTTAGGTAAGTGATTAATAAGCCCATTACTCTTTATTCCTGCCTTCCTTCAAAATGGTAAAAGCTGTATTCAAATGACTAAAAGGATGATTAAAAACTGTTTTAAATTTCTCACTTGAATTTATAACATGAGAAAAAGCAGATTCAGTTCTAGGTAAGAGGTCAGCACCTGATTTACAGGCTATTAAATATCTTCTTATAAAAGGTGAGCTCCAGTTCTCATCTTTTCCAAAAAGAGTTTGTTCCATGTGTCAGATACTTAAAAGAACCATTGAAACACTAGTTGGGCTGCCCAAGCTGGATAAATTACAAGCATTCAAATAAAATACAAGGACAAGATTACAGACAGTTCTATTTCTTTGTGTATAAGCCAGAGTTACCCAATCTCAGGAATTCAGAATTACGTATTCAGAATTATATCCTGATGACCTTGCATGCCGTCTTAAAAGAAGATCCTTTTTTTCCTGTTATGTGTTTGCTTTCTGGTGTGTGCTTAAGCTTCCGTGTTAATCACACTGCTGGTGATGCCTTCCTTTTACTTGTTTACTAATGTAGCAGCAGCCTGTTGTGAACCACTAAGACAACTTGGTCCTTTGATACACAGGGTCCAGCAGAAGTAACTCCTGCTTGAGTGTGGTTATTAGGGTAATAATATGGGTGTAATAATTTATAGTTTTCACATGAACATTTCACCTGAAATGCCATTGGGTGTGGGTAAGTGTGATATTGTTATGTTACAGAATTATATACTTATGATTGTGTAATAAAAGATTTTGTAATGAAATAGGGGCATTATTTGTACTGAACCCTATATAATAATAGATATGATCAAGCAGGTCAGTAATCAGCTGAGAGGTTTTGAACTTACAGAAGCTTGAATAAGGAAGCCAGGAAGAAATGTGGCTGACTTATGAGTTACCACTGTGACGTGGATGCTTTCAAGAACAAAAGGCTGAGCAACCTAAGGCAGTATTTAACGAAATTCAGTGTCTATATCATGAGGAATAATAGTCTGGTTCTGTAGACCACATTTTAAGGCAAACTGCAAATAAAAACTTTTTCAAGAAAGTACACAGAAAGGCAAGCGGTCTGGAGACTGTGTCCAGAAGGCACAGCCAGAGGTTCCTGAGCAACCTCAGGGAAGGGAGGATGAGAGACAGTGCAAATGAGCTGGTCCACAAAAGTCGACCTGTGGAGGGGGGAGAACAAGTAGATTGGAACTAGCTCTAAGAGGCATGTTTTGCCTCAATGCAGGAAGTGTCTTCTGCCCTCAGAAGTCCTCCTAGGATGAGCTGCTCTGAACCACCTACTGTGCTATACATTTAAGAAGGGACTGGCAACAAGGCTGCAGAGGACATTCCTCCAATGGACCAGAGGCTGAACTTGATGACTTTAACCCTGTGCTAGTGAAAGCCCAGAGTGTGTGACATTTGAGTTTTATGTCAGTAGGTTTGAGATGAAGCCACTTTCTATAGGAAGTGATGGTGATGATGGCTGCACTGTGGACACTACAAGGTGAATGCCAGGGTGGAAGAGGAGAATGCGGCATCCCTGTAAAAAATGTCTTTAGGGTCTATTTCTTTATTATTATGGTCTTTCAGATTTCTAGTACCACTCATTCATTTATTCACTCATACATTTGTTGCCTGTAATGCTGGCCAAGCATCAAATATGTTGGACAGACACAGAAGACATTGCCCTGCCCGGAAGGACTAATGAGGGAGAAAACACGTGTACACGGTCGTAGCGTGAGCGAGGCTCTTCTGTCTCACAGCACTGGAAATGAAGTAGTCTGGTCGTTGCAGTGGAAGTAGATGTGCTGAGAATTAAAGGTGATACTCCTAGTTCCTTCCATACTCTGGAATTAAATCCATGTCAGAGAAAGAGTAAGGAAAAGAGGGAAGAAAGCTTGAAAGAACCTCAAAGACCATTCTCACACTGAACTCATGTGAGGACGATGCTGAATAAAGCACTGTTAATCTGGAGGGACTGGAGATGGAGTATGTAATGTAACAAAGTATGTTAAGTTCCTCCTTAAGAAGTCACCTCCAGAAGCCCCAATTTGGCATGGGGGAATAGGACTGAAACCCCTTCCCTTGTGTCCTTTAGCTTCCAGGAAGTCCACAGCTTTGCCACGGGCAGGGCGTTGCCGTGGGGCCCACTTTGCGCAGCCATGGCCAGCTGCCACTCTCTGGTTCTTCTTGATGAGACCATCCAGGGAGACCCTCTGGACCTCAAGATGTTTGAAGCCACCACCTGGGTAAGCCTCTGGTCTGCAGAGAATCTAAGAAGCTTTCTCGATAACTAAGCACCACAGGTTTTATCTCCAAGACCCAATACTCAGGAAATGGGAGGGCTCAATATGGAGCATATAACGTAGAGAGAGGCGCACCAGTCTGAGCCTGGCGTCCTACTCCATGCATCGCCATCTCTGTGACAGGGTTTTGGCTAAGTGGAACGGCACCCTTAACGAGCTCCTGGTGCATGTTATATGCTCCATTATATTAATGTCATTATCAACATTATGTGTGTTTTTTCAAGTGTTCAGATTGTAGTATGAGCAATGTCTGGTTTCAAAGTTTTCTAGAACACGGGGATTAGAAAACATCCCTGTCCCCTGTGTTTAGAATAACTCATTGTTAACAGGGGTTTCATTTCCATTAATATTCTGTTGTATTGGCTCATTTCCAAGACTGGAAACAATAAAGAGGAAATAATGAGAGCTTTTGCAGAGACTGTAACGTGGATTTAAGAGCAGGTGGTGCTGTTCGTGAAGAGGAATGTGGCTTTCCAGGTCTTGGTTTCGGCTCTGCCCTAATGACCTCTCAACCCTGGGAGGTCAGCTCTCTCATTGGGGCTTGGCTCCAGTGACCTTAAAATGAGGGGATGGAATAGACCACTAGTGTCCACCTAAAATGAAACAAAAAAGCTAGAATCTTCTCTTAAAAGGAAACCTTATTTTGAAGCACCTTATAAAAAACAAATAGTTGAAGTTGACCTTGTTGAGATGAGCAATAAAGGTCAAGCTTAGGGAACACACATCCCCACCTACTCAGTCACAAGCCTGCCACTATCCCCGGCAGCCGGGTGCAGCTCTGGACCCCTCTGATACATGCGAACCCCACTGTGGGAGACAATCCTGAGGGTCCCTTCGGACTCTAGTAGGACATGTGCCGTAGCATTCTGATATAACTCTGCCAATCTGTACTCCCTCCTGAGTTACTGTTTCTGTATCTGTAAGCAGGGATTATAATTTCCTCTCAGATTTTTTTCAGGCACTCAATGACATGATGACAGAACATTCTGACATCTTTTGGTAAAAGGTTCCTTTTACTATAATTTAGGGTCATCATTGCAGCAATGACTGAGTGTTTACTGGACACCAACCATTTATACCATTGTCCCTGCAGTGCCTCACCCTGAGGACCATCAGTCCAAATGACCGTATTTTGCCTTGTATTATGCACACATTTTTGCCAAAATTTTTGAGGAAAAAATAAGGATGCACATTATACGTGGGTAGTACCTAACATATCTTGTATCTGTCCTTATATTTTGTAATTGTTTGTTACAGAAAACTTCTTGTACCACAACATGTTCAAAAGTAAATGTTAAAGTTCCTTTATAATACAAAAAAATAAGTATCTAAATATAAACAAACAAATAAATAAATAATTCAAGCAAAATATTTTTTCCTGAGAGTTTGGGCCAAAAACGTTGGTGCACATTATATGTGGCAAAACACAGTAGACAGAGAGGAAAGAGCAGGAACAGCCATGAACTCCAGGGAAAGACAGGCCGTGAGGTGCGGGCCTTACACAGTAAGTCTGCTACTCACGCTCACTATTTTCGTGTCAGGCTCTTCAGAAGCAGAGACTAAGCCTTTTTTGCCACACGCTCCAACAGAAAAAGCAGGATAGATTGCGTGAGTAATTCAGAAGGGTCTGATCTTCAAGTTCTACAGCATTTCCAAAGCATTATTTTTCCTGTGGCGAAACAAGACTGGTTCACCTCCATCTTTCCAAAGGGAGGAGAACGAAGAGTACACCAATGTGGCCTCGGGGTTCCCTCGAGGGGAGGGTTTGAGCATATAGTATCAGTGGATGAACAAGAAGTAAATCTCTACAGTGAAAATATTCCATCTGTGAAACAGGAAATGGCTATTTCTGGGGACAGTTTTCACATCAAGGGAGTGCCGGCACATGCCACGGTAGTTAAGCCCTGCAAAACAGCCAGCCAGGTAAGCCTCGCCTGCTACCCTCCCTGCAACGCCCAGCCTCAAGGGGACAGTCCCGTCAGACCCACAATTTTGAAAGATCACAGATGTGTGTTCTTTGAATTCCATGTGAGACAATTGATGAGAACTTGTTTCTCTTATTTGCTTAAAATACATAAAGAAAGAAAGAAGCCCTGGCTGGTGTAGCTCAGTGGATGGAGCACGGGCCTGCAAACCAAAAGATTGCGGTTCGATTCCCAGTCAGGGCACATGCCTGGGTTGCAGGCCAGTTCCCAGCAGGGGCCAGTTCCCAGCAGGGATCGCATGAGAAGCAACCATACAGTGATATTTCTTTCCCTCTCTCCTTCCCTTCCCCTCTAAAGATAAATAAATAAAATCTAAAATAAATAAATAAACAAATAAAATACATAAAGAAAGAAAGAAAGAAAAATAAGGAAAGATTGAGGGAGAAATAGTTAATTCCCTGTAGGTAGAAGAGATGTTGGTGTGTCCCTCTCTGTTCCCCATCCCTCAACCAGGTCCCAGTGGAAGGAATGGCAATCCTGCATCAGTTCCCATTCTCATCGTCAATGCAGAGGATGACAGTCATTGTTCAGGAGATGGGGGGTGACCGGCTGGCATTCATGAAAGGTGCACCAGAGAAGGTGGCCAGCTTTTGCCAACCTGAAACAGGTAAGCGAACAGACTTGTATTATAGCTGGTTAACATGTATTTGAAGCCCAAATGTGTTCCCTCAGCACTTGACCTATGAATCCAATTGCTTTTTGATCATTGCCAGCTGGATGACACATTTACATCCCGAACTCAATACTAAAATCAAGATTATATTTCTCACTTCCTATATTTTCCATCTTGGTGAATGACACTACCCTTCTCCCTCTTCCCAGAATTTAAGGTTCTTCCCAGAGTTGTCCCTCTCCCCAGTGCCTTTGTCTTGGCAATTGTTGATCCATGACCCTCATCAGGCCTTCATTGTTCCTTTACCGGATCACTTTAATAGTTGGTGAATTGGGCCCCTGCTCCCAGTCATCCCTACCCTGTTCACCTTTTATATTCTGACTAGATTGGTTTTTTTCCATCACATAATATAACAATGTTCTCACTTTCCACTTTTCTCCTTTTGGTTGCCTCCCATGGACTCCAGAAAAATCTCGGACTCCCTTAAGATCTTAAGGCCTTCATGGTCTGACCCCTATTAAGCTTTCCAGCTATGCCTCACCACTCCTACCCTCACATTCTGTGCTTTCCCTGAGCCGAATTAATGACTCAAGGCCTGACCATGTGGTGCTTTCTCAGCCCAAATGCCAGTCCCTTCTTCCCAGTCTGGTGCCTATGTCTCTGAGTGCTTCCATAGCACGGCACGCCGCAGCTGCTAGCAAAGATCCCGAGAGTGGGGCCTGCTATTTAGTCTTCATAGACCCAATGTCTGACACGCAGTAGACTGTCAGTAAATGTTTGCTGCTTAAACTGGAGCAACAAGAATTATATTCATATCCTATCCCCCTTCATCTTTAAGTACTTCCATCTCATTTCAGGTTCACTGAATCCCAAGACATCAGTCCCAACAATGGAGTTGTGTTTAGGGTGGGGTCCCCCTGACTTATTGTGTGCCTTGTTAGAGCTGTGGTTCTTTTTTGTTGTTGTTTCTTCACTAGTACCAACTTAGTAAATATTGGCTACTAATCTTGTGTAATTTTCTGAATAGTACCAGCTGGTTTTGCCAGTGAACTTCAGATTTACACAACACAGGGCTTCCGGGTCATAGCCCTGGCCTACAAAAAGCTGGAAATGGACCATCACACCACTGCCTTGATGAGGTAAATGGGGAGGGGTTTCATAAAGTGGGATAATTGGGTGGGAAGATGCACCACTCTGGGCAGTGGACTCAGCAACATAAGTTGCTTGATTCATGTGTGTGAAATGTCTCTGAACTTCATAAACATGGATATAGTCATCCCTCCTCTGCCTACATCACAAAGCTGATGTGAACACTGACTGGGAGAACTCACCAGGAGGTAGCTGTACTCTGTGCATCTGATAGATAGCTGTACTCTGTCTACCAGGAGATAGATATACTCTGAAAGGTTGTCCACCTTTGTGAAAACAGATGCATGAATGTAAGCAATGTTTCATCCTATGAAATTATGGTCACACCCCCATCTTGAAACAAATACAAGTAGCTAATTTTCAAAATTATCTCTTTGGTTATCCAAATTATCTATTTTGATTATCAAAATTATTAAAAGTTGGTGAATTAGTTGGAAGTTAGAAAACAACATATTTCTGAAAAAATTCTTAATAAGAAATATACACCTGAATGAAAAAATATGGCCTGGACTTACATAGAATAAGAAATATTTGTAGAAAAGCTTCAGAGTGGCCATTGCTGAGAAAGTTTTGGTATTAGTAGGTTAAAATAGGAACCCTCCGAACCTAAAATGGACTATTTAATTTTTGTTGTTGTTTTATTTTCCACTCTTTTCCGCTGTTTTCAGTGCCAGCCATCATTGGTAACACTGCTGTGGAGATCATCAGAGCTTATTTTGTTACTTAGGATTTTAAATTTGGGAGGTCTAATGGATTTGTGTTCAGCCCTGTGAGACTCAGCAACAGTCTCTTGTTGTAACCATATTTTGTACTACTTCCTTTTTTATACTAAAACAAAATACATAAGTATATAGTCTGTCCATATTTGTAAAAATAAATATGATGCCATCCTATAGAGTAAAAATAAAAACAAAAACCATAATATATTACAAAAGTAATAGCTAAATACGTGCTCAGCTAACTCCATAAGACAGGCTAAAGCAATGCCTTGCTTGCACCTGTGTGGAGAATGATTGAGGGGCTTCGATGCTGGAATGCAGACTGATACAGGGGTTACACATGAATCTCAAACAGTACTACCAGTCTTGCTGTCAGTGAGGTCACTGCAAAACGGTTTAAAACTCTTGGTAAAACTCTGAATAAAACAGTACAGTCTCCTTCCAATTTACATGATACTTTGTGCTAATATGTAAAACAGAGCTGGCTGAAGTATAAACAATTTTATATTTGTTTAACATAGTATAGTTGTGTTATATATACTATAATATAGTATATTACATAGTATAATATAAACAGTATAAGCCTATACTGACTGTGTAAACAACTTTCTAGTGTCTGTGAATGTCCTGTAAAATATTCAAATGGCATGTAGCATGCAAGATAATTCTTCATTGTGCATTGTTCATTGCAGAAAATCTTGTACAGATGTAGAAAGTTTCCAAGATGTCCTCTAGGGGCAGTACCGCCCCTGCTGAGAATCGCAGATGTGCCCCAACCCTGTCACTTGGGGAATGGGCAGAGAGGCCCAGAGGCACAAGTGGCTCATTTGAAGTCATTGAGCATTAGATTCCTGAGCATATTGGGCCTCTCCCCTGGGGCCAGCTTGATGTGACCCTTAAAAGGGTCACGATGGCTATTGTGAAGCTGGGCATTTGCTGTAATTTAATCAACTCAGGTCACTCAAGTCACTGGTGAGAGAGCTGACAGTGAACTTTGAGATTGAATCTCACATTTTCAAGAAGAGGAAACTTGCTTTGAAGCGAGTAGTTCCAATTGTGCCCACTTCCTGCCACTCTGGTGGAGGGGCCAGCAGTGTTCGGGAACATCCCGCGCCTGGCCGATGGGAGGCACACCTAGCAAGCGAGGCAAGGTGGCTTCTCTGGGAATTGCTTTCTTCCATGTTGCAGCCAGATACAGGCAAGGCTGTGGTCTTGCTCTTGTGTCTGCTAAAGGTGTCTGAGTCTTGGACGAATGAATCCGGGAAGACTCTTTGAGTCCCCAAGCCCGAATGTACTTCCCCAGGGAGTACTTGTTCCTGTGGGGTGTCTTTGAAGTGCCCTTGTGGTGGGTGGGAGCCCCAGCCTCAGCAACTCCACCTGCTGCAATAACTGTCATGTAGAAGACTTATGTAGAAGAGCAATGTCACCAGCTGAGAGAGACATGGGGAGGTTGGACTATCAAGAGAGTTATTGAGGCTATGGCCTCATATTCCTGGCACTAAAGTGGTACTGATTATAGGTTTGTTTCTAGAAAAACTGACATTTTATATATTTTTTGTGCCTCACTTATCTTCCATGATACTATGTACCAGAGGAAGAGCTCCTCTCTGGTGGTTGCCGGCAAGTGAGGTAATGAAAATCAGCATAGCAGATTGTAGAGACCTTTGCAGCAATTTAGTTTATTCTCTCCGAATGTTAAAATAAACCTTTTGCTTAATAAATACTCTCTCCCTCTTGGTTCAGTAGGAATAAATGTCCCCATATCCCCTCCCTGTCCAGATGGCTCCCGGCCCGTGCTCAGTGCCTCAGGAGCGGTGCTTGGGTGAGAGAGTCGGCACCACTTGGACAGGAAGAGATTGGTCTTTGTTTCGGTTTTGCTTCCTGTAAGAAGGATGATGATGTGCTATTTCTGTTCAATCATTCAGGGACAAGGTAGAATCAGACCTTGTGTTTCTGGGATTGCTGATCTTGGAGAATCGATTGAAGGAAGAGACAAAACCTGTGCTGGAGGAGCTCATCTCAGCCCGGATAAGGACGGTAATGATCACAGGTATAGAGAAAAGTAGAAAACAGTAAGAGTATGATGTGAAAATAGATAGGGAGTCACTCATTTATCAAATATTGTTGACGACCTACTATGGACCAGGCACCATTCTGGGTGCTGGAGATGGGCAACAAAAAGGCAAAGTTATTGTTCTCATGAGGTTCCATTCATGTGGGATGAGATAGAAAGTCAGTCAACCAATCAATCAACAATCAAATAACCAAATAAACAGCTAGTATTGAGTGTTATGAGGTGCATAAAATAGGGTGATATGGCAAATTGTCTGACTAGCTATTTTAAAGATTTTGTTATTTATTTATAAGATTTAATTTTTTTTATTTTTAGGGAGGGGAAGGGAAGGAGAAAGAGGGATGGAAATACCAATGTGTGGTTGCCTATTGCATGCCACCTACTGGGGATCTTGGCCTGCAACCCAGGCATGTGCCCTGACTGGGAATCAAACCAGTAATGCTTTGGATTGCAGGCTGGAGCTCAACCCACTGATGCACACCAGCCAGGGCCGACTGGCTATCTTAGATGAGGTATCTTCTCAGAGAGATATCTTTTGAGATACCACCAAATGAAAGGAAGATATCAGCCATACAAAATGATGATTTTATTGTTAAATGTTAGGAGAAGAAGAATACTTGGTCAGTGTGGTCTATAAACTGTACTGAAAGCCAGTCAATAACGAGACCAACAGTTCTGGAGATTTTTAAAAAGTGCTGTCCTCTCTGTTTCTACTTTCAAGCCCCAGATCACACAAACAAGGAGTGGTGAGAAAGGGTCATGTGAGAGAAAGGTGTGAAATTTCCTAATGGATGCTTCTGCATGGAGAATAAGTGATTTCCTGATGCATTCATATTTTTGAGGGAGTCTCCCACCTCATAGTCTGGCATTCAACTCTATTAATTGTGTTGCCAAGATAGAATATTTCCCCACCCCACATCCCCTGAATCCAATTCTACTATTGGGAACTCAAGAATACTTTTACTTTCTCTTCTGTACTTTTCCATCCTCTATTCCCACCCACACAATCTTAGAGGCACTGGGGTCACTTTAACACTCTCCCTTTCCAGTCCCTCAATCCAACTTTTAGGTATTGCTGAGTTAATTTACTACTTATTAAAATTTTTCTTGCATTACGATACCTCTGTTTCAAAAACCTTTATTTAGCACTATTTTATACATTCTTACAATCTATCCTTAATCGTTTATGTAAAATTAAGAGTTGATCACCCTACCTCTACTCCTCCCCTCGTATTAAATTTCTGTTCTGTTTTTTTTCCTTGCTTGGTTATCATTTTTTTTCTCAAAAATTGTCCTTGGACAGGATAGAAGGTTGACATGCTCTCTGATTTCTCACATACCTGGAATATCTTTCTTTGTTGGCCGTTGAATGAGTACAGAATTTTTGGATTACATTCATTTTTTTCTTAATAATCTGTAGGTGTCTTTCCTTTGCCCTCTAGTTTTCAGTATTGCATATTACCAGTTCAATGCCAGTCCACCGTGGGTAACTTGTTCTTTTCTGCATATAATCCTTTTCTTTTAACTTTGAAGTTTAGAAATGTTACCAGAATATTCTTATACATTTGTCACTTTTCATTAATTTGATCTGGAACATAGTGAACACTTTTAATCTGCCTTCATTCTCTCAGGGAAATTTCTCCTATTGTTCAAAACTTCTTCTATTGTTCATTTAATTATTACCTTTGTTCTCTCTCTCTTTCTCTTTTCCCTCCTGGAGTTTCTATTATTCACATGACAGGCCTCCTGGATCTATCCTCTCAGTTTCTTATCTTCTTTCTAGGGACTGTCATGTTTTTATAATTTTGATTTGTGCTTTAAGATTTTTTTGCGCTTAGTTTTGTAAATGACTATTATCTTCTCTGAACCACCCTCTTTTTTAATGCAAGTTTTTTGTGTCTCTCACAGCTACTGTACTTTACCCAGCATGTGTTCTGGTTGTTTGGTCTGAATGTTTCCTATCTCGATATTGGTGTTTCCTAAGTAGGTGGTTAGATGTCTTTGTCAGATGACTGAGGCTCAGACCTGGGCTGCACATCCTCAATGGTAGGGCTCTGATGGTGGTAGATGCAGAATGGACCTGTCCTGCAAAGCAGACCGGTGCTGGTGTCCTGCTGAGGCACGTGGGGGAAGCCTCTTAGCTCTCAGCACTCACTACAGTCCTTCAGACTCAGGGTTCAGCAGCACCTCTCCACCAGTTAGCTCTTTTGAGAATTCTCATAAGGCTTTTGGTAGAATCCTGGAAAAAGCTATGCTGAGGATAGTCAACCAGGTCTTATATCATTTGTTTTTTGGTTGCAGGAATTACAACATCCATACCTACCCTTCCAAGGAACTTCACAACCATAAACGTGTTTTTACCTTCTCTCCTTTGTGCTGTAGTTGTCACGTGTATAATAGATCATGAAAACCCCACTGGGCAATGCTAAAGCTTTTATTTTCAACAGTTGAGAGTTAAATAATATAAGTAAGTGAAGAAAAATAGACTTTTATATTTACCCCAATTTTTATTATTTCTTTTTTTAGTTATTGCAAATCTTCTGTTTAATTTTTTCTTTGTGTTATTACACAATATAGGATTTCCCATACAATGTAAATACAAATAAAATAGAAAGCATTCTTGTGTGTGTGATCGGAATGTTTATTTTAGAAAATAAACATTCCAATCATAAAATTTTAGTATTTCTGTGCTGTGCTTTCATTCCTTATGTTCTAAGTTCCCTTCTGGTAGCATTTCTTTTCAGCCTAAAGAACTTCTTTTGGCATTTCTTTTTGAGTATGTCCTCTGGCAAAAAAAAAAAAAAAAAAACAACTTATCTTAGTTTCCCTTCATCTAAGCATGTCTTTATCTTTACTTTAGTCTAAGATATTTTATTTATCTTCGTTTTTGTTTTAGCAGTTTATGTGTCTAGATGTGGTTCTCAATGAGTTGATAGGGGGTTCACTGAACTTCTTGAATCTCTAAATTAAAATTTTTTAACATATTTGGTAACTTTTCTGCTATTATTTGTTAAAATAATTTTTTGTTCCACTTTCTCCTTTTTTTTACTCTAATGACATAAATGTGAGACTTTTTGATATTTTTTGGTCTTTTTTCTTTTAAGATTTTTCTCTCTGTTCTTCAGATTGTATAATTTTTATTTCTGTATCTTCAAATTTACTGACTTTTTCTCCTTATCTCCATTCTGTTATTGATATCTGCCTTCATTCTCTGCATCTAGTGCATTTTTGCAGTTTCAACTATTATACCGGTCAGTTCTAAAGTGGCCATTTAGTTTTTTATAGAGTTTTTTTCTGTTAAGGACATCTTTCTTGTTATTTATTTCAAGAGTATTAACCTTCACCATGTGAAGGAAGCTTACAATAGCTCCTTTAAAACCACTGTGTAATAATTATAATGTTTGGTTGATTTTGGGACATGCAATTATTGATTACTTTTTCTTGAGAATTTAGTATCCTAAATATTTTAAACACAATGTTTTGATACTTCGGATCCTGTTAACATTCTTTGGAGAATGCTGAGTTTTGCTTTTTTTTTTTTTGAAGTATGTAAGTCCCAGGCCCTGGGACTTACATACTTCAACCGTTGATTTCGGCTCCTTGTCTAGGTCTGTCCTTTCCAGGACTATCCTCATAACTCTTCAGCCCTCAGGCACCCCTTCCCCTAGTTCCTCGGGCTGGAAAGGCTAGTTTCTCAGAGTTCTGCTACCTGTACAGCTGTAGGGTCAAATCTGTGAAAGGAAAGAGAAAAAACACTTGAGAATTGTAGCACCTTGTAGATTGTTTCTCTAAATTTGCCTCTCTTCCACATTCTGCCTGCTTATGTTTACTTTTCCAAGTCCTTCAGTAGTTGGTTTTGTATTTTTGTTCAGAGTTTTCCATTGTTGTCAGTGGGAGAGATTATGTAGTGGGCAGACCCCATTTGGCTGAACGTGGAACCACCAGATGTTCTATGAAACCAGCAGGGTCTTGCTAAATGTTTACCAAGCTGTTAACTAAGGACAGAAATAGATTTGGATTTTGCCTTTTTGTTTTTCCTTTCCCTTCTCTGACAAAAATATACTGGTGTGTCTTGAAGTAACCAGATGAAAAGCAGCGAGAACCAGAAACAGGATCGTGAGATCAGGGAAGGTCAGGGCTGAGGGAGACATAACGTCATTTCTCTTCACACCTAAAATAAGTTCTCAACGCCTTCTCCTGGTTTTCCAGGCCCCCTATGAATTTGTTCTATCTCTTCCACCTCATGTTAAGATATTCTTCGTTTCTCCTAGGTGACAATCTTCAGACTGCAGTAACAGTGGCCAGAAAGTCCGGAATGGTTTCTGAAGGCCAGAAAGTCATTCTCGTTGAAGCAGATGAAGGTCCTGCATCCTCATCAGCATCTGTATCTTGGAAATTAGTAGAAGAGAAGAAACACATTCCATACAGGAATCAGGTACACCTAAAAACAGACTTTCTGCCATCTTATCTACTATTGTCTAACCGTTGCACACCACTGGCCGCTGATCAGCTTTGACTGGCAGAGGTGTGCAGGTGGCCTAAGCTCAGCGGACTTCTGCAAAAGTCGAACACATACGCAGTGCAAAGAACTGAATTATATCCCTTCCCCACATCTTTCCAACTGAGCTGTAAGGTATAGTGCTTCCCTGGGTGATGAAAATTAACCATTCCTTTAATTTTTTTTGGCTATGTATGAGAAAGAATATAGTAAAGGGGGGCTGGTAATCTAATTTTCCATTTTCCCCTTGCTCATCAACCACCCTGTTGAGTTCAAAGGGGGTTTAGTTCCTAAGAGAGATATCATTGTGTGAATTGAAAAATCAGACTGTATCTTCAGGGTGGGGAAAAAAGTTTTATCCGTTTATCTCCAATCATGTCAGTATTCTATCTCTAGTGTGTCTTTGTGGAAGAATATGAACTCTCTAAGAAAAAAAAGTAAGTTCTCACTTCAGGGTGAGATTTGTTGGGCTGCAATGCTTTTGTATTTTACACTTGAAATGTGTAAAATGAACTCATCTTTGGGATCACAGAGATCAAATCAGGAGAACAGGACACGAGTAAGTGTTAGTCTCCTAGTCACTAGAGGCTGCAGTGCACTGAACTGACCTAGCGAAGAGGAAGTGCTTCTCTGCGGAGTCAGGACTTGAGTGTGACTTCTAAAGAGAACCCCTGGACCGCCATCGCTGTCTTATCTCAGCTCTGCTGTGGTCAGGACCACTCTATTGTGTCTAAGATAACCGTGTCTTGCTTTGCAGGACAATTACATTAACATCAGGGAAGAAGTCTGTGATAACAGCAGAGAAGGGAGTTATCATTTTGCCCTAAGTGGAAAATCCTTTCAGGTCATCAGTCAACATTTCAGCAGCCTACTGCCAAAGGTAAGTTCTCAGAGGGCACTACCCTCTGGGTAAAGATGCTGACAGTGTCATTTACGGAGAATGATCCTCAGTAATTTCAAAGCTCTAAATAGGTAAGATGCATCTATTGAACATATCATAAAAGAGGTAGACATCTTTACAAATGTTACCATTGTCTCATTTTCTACTAGATTTAAAAATCAGTAAACTTAATTAGCCAATTTTCTATCACTTATAGAATTAAAGTAGTAGTTACTTCTCAAGTCATCAGGATTGCTTTGGGGCAGCTGTCACTATATTGCCATAGTTAGGAGTTTCACTGCTAGTGAAAATCTAGCAGTTGTTCAAGAAGACAGGTCAGGAATAGAAAAATTACATTAAGTTTTTGATAGAGAACCTCTACACAGAAGAGGGACAAACTGAAAAACTTTGCTAATGAAAGATAAACCCATAGTGGCTGATTGGTTTGTATTCAATTACTCACCATCTTAGACACTGCTTAAGCAAAAAAGAATAAAGACTTTGAAGCTGAGTGAACACTAAGCTGAGCTTACTGCCAGGGAGCACGCAGATCTAACACAGAACTTAGACTCTGTAGAACAGAGCTCCGGTGGAGGGGCTGGGAGAGGTTTTGATACCATCACACCATCAGTGTTTCACAGTCCAAACTAGGTTGGGCTATCAGCTGAGTTCTACAGTTGTACAAGCCCAGACGGTTTGCTTAAGTCGAAGACCACCAGTCGTTGCTTTATTATTTCACCAGTCGGCTGTTTTTCTGCTACGTAGTTCTGGACAATTTTCCAAGAAGCGGTTGCCTCCTTTCCTTTTCCCAAGATCTTGACAATTTCTCATGCTTTACTGGCTTAAGGTCTGATTAAGCTCAGGATTTTTCAGGACCACACTCCCCATAGCAGCTGAGCTAAATTCTTGTAGGCCATCGTTTTCACCACATATTTTTATGAAGTAGTCATCTTTACTAATTTCAGTCTCCCTGTCACTTACCTGATGACCAATGTCCCAATGCCTGTCTTAAAATCCAAAGGAAGACTTCTTGAAAAACAATTTTTTTCATTCATGGATTCATGGATGTCAATGCCCTGTCAGTTTTATGGGTGTTATGAATGCCAACTGACATAATAAAATATTTCTCTTTTGGGTTCCTTACAGATACTGATGAATGGGACCATCTTTGCAAGAATGTCTCCTGGGCAGAAATCCAGCCTGGTGGAAGAATTTCAGAAACTGGAGTAGGTCGTTTATCAGTCAGGGGGTGTGAGGTGCAGGGAGGCATGGCAGTCGGGGGAGAGTGAGAGGTACAGGGGCCGCTCTGTTTGGCTTGGTTCTTAACCTGGCTGCACATGTCAGTCACCTTGGGAGCTTTGAAAAAATAGCGGTTCTGACTCAATCGCTCACATGGGGCTCGGATATCAGCACTTTTTGAAAGCTCCCACGTAAGTCAATTTTGCATCCAGATTTGAGAGGCACTGACTGGAACATAAGGGGTGTGAAAAGGCGTGGCAAGGAACAAACCTGGAAAAGTAATTTCAGCTCATGTCCTGAAGTGGTGATGAAATTTTAGATTTTGTTTTTACAAAATATCACAGTTATGATATGGGGAGATTTATATGACAAGAAATTCACATAACCTTTCAAATATTAAAACTCTACCACAGCACCCTCTTTCTCCTAAATCAGGAAAATAATTACTCTTCTAACACAAAGCATCTCCATTGATAGAATGGGCAGTCTGTATAAAGTGCCCATCATTGGGGGCCCTTTATTATTATTATTATTTGTCCACTGGAGCCCATGGAGTGTTGATGGCTCCCTCCACTTCTTGTGCTGGACCTCAGAGACATGACTTCTGCTCCTACCTGCTGCTACTTTATCCTGCAGCTCACTTGATTCAGTCATGAGGCAAGCTTCTCAATTCAGAAAGCCTTGTCTTCATTCAGAAAGCCTTCTCTCTTTATTCAGAAAGCCTTGTCTTCTCAGCATGGTTGAGCACCTAGACCGTTAACTAGTTGCCTTCATACAGCAGTATGTAAAAAGCACAGCCAGTTCTGTAAATGCTGTCAGAGTGCTCTTACCTTACCAGCAGACTCTCCACAGTTTTTGCCAACAACTTAGAACAGCTGTATTCATTCACCCAGCCTCAAAAAGCCATCCTGAAGGAAGGATGCATTTTCTTTAACTTCTGAGTCTGGCACTGCATTTTATTGAGTGACTGCTAACCTGGCAGATTTCCTCTTGTATTGTAAATACTGTTAACAGCACCCACCAGTAAGTTTTATTTATCATTTTAGAATTTATAAGGCACTTTTCCATACGGCACCTCTCTGAATACTGACAACACTTTGTAGGGGAGAAAAATGATAGACTGAATAGTAAAGTGATCAGGTAAATGATCTAGATATGCCAATGTCAAGTTCTGCACCCCCTTGGCTGCGCCATGCTGTCTTACCCTGTAGTTGTTAATGTCCTGTTTTACAGCTGACAAAGCTGCTTTCTAAACAATGAAGTTCAGGGTCTCCCTGAAACTCTTGGAATCAGGAAAATTCCTGGATTTCTTAACCCTTTGTAGAAACTGCTAAGTCAGATTTTACTTATTAATCAAACCAGACTATTAGGGAAACTGTCTTAAAATAATAAGTTTGAACCCTATGTAATGAAGCCCATTTTATCATTTTAATTAGAGAAATTAGTTTTCATGATTGCTTTGATCTTTTCTGCAATTGACACGGCTCCCCTTCAGTTACTTTGTAGGTATGTGCGGGGACGGAGCCAATGACTGTGGGGTAAGTAGTGCCCATGTGTGGGGTCGCAGTCTCACACTCGACGGTACTTGCCCAGAGCCCTGTAGAGGTGGCATTTCCTGAGATACACACTCTCTCCAGTCCTCTTCATGGAGAAACTGTTGCTGGGGGTTGGGAGAGTTTTGACCAAAGCTGTGCAGTAACTCAGTGGTCGTTGCAGGCTAAACGGGGTAGAATTTTCATCTGAAGTCCCCACTTCCTTTGTTGCGTGTCCCAGGGCCATCTCTTTCTTATGTGGCAGGAAGAGCAAAATTGGTCATCTCCTAGCTAGTAGTGCCTGAGCCCACAATCCACCTTGCGGACAGCTCCTCCGGCCCCTTCCTTAGGGGGCCTCGGGAATGGTGCGTGTGACTGTGCACACACAGTAAGCAGACTCTTTGTTTTCAGGCCTTGAAAATGGCTCATGTGGGCATCTCTTTATCAGAGCAGGAGGCATCTGTGGCCTCGCCTTTTACTTCCAAAACTCCAAACATTGAATGTGTGCCTCATCTCATCAAGTAAGTGAGCACTTTCACCAGCATGGTTTTCATCTCTTCTGACTTCTAGGTGCAGATCCTATTGTTCTTCTTGTTTTATCATTTACTTACTTTAAAATTTTAAAATAAATATTCAATATTATTTTGTTTTAGTTTCAGGTTGGCAGCATTGTGGTTAGACAATCATATACTTTACAAAGTATTTCCCCCTGATATTTCCCGGTACGCACCTGGCACCATAAACAGTTATTATATTATCGACCATATTCCCTATGCTTTAGATCCCCATGATTACTCTGTAATGACCAATCTGTACCTCTTAATCCCTTCACCTTTTTCACTCAGTCCCCTAAGCCCCCTCTCCCCTGGCAACTATCAGTCTGTTCTCTGTATCTGTGTGTCTGTTTCTATTTTGTTTGTTCGGTTATGTTGTTCCTTAGATACTACATATAAGTGAAATCATGTGACATTTGTCTTTCTCTGACTGACTTATGGGATCCCATTTTTCTACAAGTCAAAGACCAGGGAAGTGGCATTCTTGGGTGAAGAGGGTGTTCTGTGGGAGATCGCAGTCAAACTCTACACCCAAGTGGACCTACCAGGAGTTAAAAATAACCCTGGGAGAGTGGTGGCGTTTTTTAAAAAAGATTTTGTTTCTTTATTTTTAGAAAGAGGGGAAGGGAGGCAGAAAGAGAGGGAGAGAAACATCCATGTGGGAGAGAGCATCAATCAGTTGCCTCTCACACCACCACCCCCAACCAAGGACCTGGCCCACAACCCAGGCTTGTGCCCTGACCGGGAATTGAACCAGTGACCTTTCAGTTTGCAGTAATATTATATTACTTTCACCACATTAAAATAATGATTTGGTTGTTTCCTCCCATTCTTTAATTTTTTCATGTGCTTGACAAATATTTATAGTCTAGCCACTTAGCACTGGGAACAGCTGGAAGCACTGGGGACTCAGAAGCAAGTAAATCAGACGTCCCTCAATCCCATAATGTTTCCCTCCAGTGAAGAAGTCAGGCAAAAAACCAAAACAAAACAAAGCTCAAAAACAAGCAAACAAACAAACGTGCAGCTAAATCTGGGGTAACGTGAAAAGTAGGAAGATGGCTGGGGAGGTGGAACTGGCTGCAGCAGAGGGGGGTGTGGGAAAGCCTTTCTAAGGAGGGGAGGGGTGGGGAGCAGCTGCCCTCTAGGCAGAACTTGTGGCAGCAGTGAAGCCCTGATACAAGAAAGAGTTTGATGTGAGGATCAGGCTTTGGAATCTCAGGAAACCCTTATGATCAGAGGTAAATTTACACTATATTTTTACCCCCCCAAAAAAAAACCAGAAGTGATATTTTATAAGTAATTTATTTTATGCTTTAAATATATATTATTTAGTCAAAGTAAAACAATAGTAACAAAAATGATCATACTCATTCCCAGTCCATTTAAATTTGATATGTAACAAATCTGAATGTATATATTATTTTAGCCCAGTTTTAGAAAAAGTTGAGACTCTCAAGTGAAATTTGAATGAAATGTTTGCCAGACTCCTGAAGCACCTACACAAAAATATAAGTAAAATCTGGGATTTTACTTATATTCCTCATTTCACAGATGAAGAAACTCTGACCAAGAGAAGGGAAATGGCCTTCCAACTCACGTTAGTACGGGACCTGGGTGGGACCAGCTCAAGTCCAAGGACCCTGAGCTGAAATAATGCCTGCAGAAAGGACAAGAGGAACTCTAACTCTGACTCCCTGGCTGGGTCAAGGCCTGTGGACCTCGGAGTGGAATTGGCCTTTCCTGAAAATGTAGTCAGCGCACTGACAGCGGGCTTCTCCCACTGGCTCACGGCTGTGAGGCCAGTCTGTCAGGCAAATGATGGAATAATCAGGCTTTTGATCTTTTCTCCTGAACTCAGCTGAACAACACAGAATAACTGACCTCCTTTCTCTTCATTCCTTTCGTTTCATTTCTTTTCTCTTACAGGGAAGGACGTGCAGCTCTCGTGACCTCATTTTGCATGTTTAAGTACATGGCCCTGTACAGCATGATTCAGTATGTTGGTGTTCTGCTGCTCTACTGGGTATGACTTGGGACCTAGCCTCCTGGTTAGTGAGGACTGACACACAGCAGGTGCACTCTCAGTGCGCAACGCCTCTGAAAGTGTAAATGGGAGGTTGAGCACTAACAGCCCCTCTAAAACTCTCTAATGTTTTGAAAATAAATCAGAACTAGACAAAGATACACAAGAAAAGGTGTTAGTGTGATTTCTCTGACTCTGACAGAGAATCTAGATGCAGCTGAGGATCAGAATGGAACACACCACTCTCATTGTTGCTTTCACCTGCTGGGACCAGGTCTCTACCTTTCCAAGCCAGTGTGGCTCTCCCCTCACATCCCATTCTTTACAGAGGTGATTCTCTGGTTGGGTGCTGGAATGTCTCATGACGGGCTCTCCCTGGAAAAATGAGCCCTGATTGTCATCATTTGCCAATTTCAATGGTGTAACTATTCCCACCATGGCTAGGTTTAAGCTATCCACTTGAACGTGGACTCGGGGAGAGACGTACAATAGCGTACAATTATGTAGTGTTTGCACCACATACATAAAACAGTTGTGAGTAACTTCAAGAACATATATAAACACTAAAGTATAGGAAAGTGATTGGAAAATGCTGAGTTTTGACTATTCATTGCCTCTTTTTTTCAGTATAATTTATTTAATAGTAAATTTGTGTAATTTAAGTTTTATATTGGCTGTATTTATCAGCCAAAATTCTGAAATTTGAAACAGTTCAAAATTCTGAAACAGTTCACAAAATTATAGCACATAACTTTTCACACGTAGCAGTGGACTCCTATAAGCTATAGTATAAGCCAACATATCACCGATTCCCTGAACATAGGGATTTAAAAATTGGCATACCATACCACAAAAAATACGTAGGTCTTGTGATGGCTTTCATTATTTAACCAAACATAAAAGGAGAAAGTCCATCATTATTATTTGTGGACTCAACATATGGAGGCTTTTTCTATTAGCTAACGCAGAGAGAGGGGACTCTATTTGTGCCAGAGATATCCAGATTCATCTCTATATCTTGCCCTCTTGCTCCTGGATTGAACATTTTAGTTCTTTTATCTTCAAATTACCTATGTCTTTTCCCACTCACTAATGAATAAACTGGAGAGGAAGGGGCTATTTATAGCAACTTCGTCCTATTTGAAATCTCAATAGCTCTTGCTCAAAGCTAGAGTTAAACATGGGTTATTATTATTTCCTTTCCATCAAGGGGTATGGGGCAAGGGAGGAAGTTCCTTGAAATCTGCAAGATCTAAATGTTTTTTCCTCAAGAATCAAGGTGCTTTATCAGGGACTTTTAAACATCACCCAAGAATGCAAATAGTTGATTCAGTTATTGTCATTTTCTATCAGTAAAATTTTAGATACGACCACCACACATTTGTCACTTGTTACTATTGGAAATGCACTCTTTTATGCCAGACCAAACCCCAACTTTTCTGTTAGCAAGTGGACAAGAGAACAGGGATGAATCTGGTCAGTGAGATATTCCCTGCAGCGAGGGGTGATAACAATGCACAAAGGCCCCGCCCAGTTGGACGGATTTCACAGCCTTGTCTCTTGTACGCCCACCAACCCAGACAGGCCCCTGACCACACTCTCCCTTCAGTAATTTCCTTGACAATCCTGTGTTGCAGTGAGAGCATGAATGAAATTTATGTAGAACTTCATCCAGAAGCTCACAACTCTTTTGAGCCGCTTTCCTTTTTATTTTCAGGAGACGAACAGCCTATCAAATTACCAGTTTCTGTTCCAGGATCTGGCCATTACAACTCTTATTGGTGTAACAAGTAAGACGTTTTTAAAACTTCCTCTCCAGACGTGCTCCCATCAGCTTGCCTCCCTCTGCTCCAGAAGGGCTGGTTGGCCAGCAGGGCAGGGGCAGCAGCTGCAGCAGATGTGATGTGTGACTTATTCCCAAAGGTACATACACAGAGGAAGAGAGGACAATCCTCATTTTTGAGTGTTGAAAGAAAATGTTGGCAAAAGTGAACTAGTTGGCCAGTTATTTTGCTGTTTTCCACAACATATACAGCTTCCATAAAATATTTAAAATGAAAACAAAAAACCGTTGAAAATCAGGAACACAGATTCTGGTATGCTTTTAGGCATAGTTATAGTTAAAATGTGCTCAGTATGGAGCTTGTCTGTTCTCCATGTCCAAATCTAGCCTCTCAAGATCTAGAACGCAGGTGGAAGGTCATCTCGTCATTTTTCCACTCCCACCCTCACCTTCTCTAACTAATGTACAAGTTACTCTCCAATTTCCCTGGTAAGGAATTTTCACCCCAACCCACATACTAACCATCATCTTTACCAAATTCTCTGCTTTCCTGTCTGGTACATATAAATGCCAACAGCCCCACCTGTACTTTTAATCCTACCTCCTCTTACCTTCTTATGGACTTTGTTCACGTCATAATCCCTTCCTCCATCATGGCCGACTTTTCTCTGGGCCACTGCATGATCCTTTACCAGCATATAAATAATATGTCCAACTCTTCTTTCATTAAAAGCTTTTTCCTTGACCCAAATCAACCACTTTCTGCCAAGCTTCCTAATTAGCTGTGTATACCCACTTTCTCCACTTGTTATCTTTAATCTTAACATTTCAGTCAGATTCTAACATTCAGAGACAGGAACTTGGGTGCTTGGCCTGTGCTGGTATTTGCGGGGAGGCAGTGGTGGGCCGGCAAATGTTTAACAACTGGCATTCCAAAAAATGTTTGTACATATATGCACACAAGTTTATTATAAACTGAAGAAACCTGTGTAGCAAGCAATTTTCAAATAATAATAAAATAGACAATGTCTTTCTTGCAAATTCCATTTAGTCATTGATTCCCACAGAGTGCTTTCACTGAGGGTTTACCAAATTCTTTTATCCACAGTCAACCTATGCTATTGAGAACTGAATTAGCTTTAACATAAATCATTGCTGACATGTTTTTCCTGAATGGCAACACAGCAAAAATTCATGTTGAAACTCTAACCATTCATCAGTGATGTGAGCAACTTACTTGCTGAGTTGGATAGTAGATCTTGAGTGCTGGAAAAGTACTTCCTCAGTAAAAAAATTATTCATGATGTAATGGCTACAGACATGACACACTTTTAAATTTAATCTCCATTATTAATTTCAAGAACATAGATCATTTAAAAATGGGAAATAACATAAAATGATCAGTTTTTGAATATTTTTCTTTGTTTTTCAAGTTTACATAATTTACTTTTAGTAATGTCTGCTTTTAGTAACTGGCTTACAGATTTAGCAGAAACTGGCCCTTGCGAGCCAGGGTGAGCCAGCCTCAGCCACCACTGGCTGGGAGGGCGCACATTACTGACGCATGAAACAGTACGTCTTAGATGGCTCCTTCCTCATGCCTCATGGTCTTGCTTTCACATTATTTCCTCTTATATCTTCTCATTATAACCTTAACAACCGCCATGCCAACTTGTCATTTAAAAACTCTTTTGGAAGCTCTGTTTTTGGAGAATGAGCTCACAGGGAGCAACTGCCATCTATGTTTCTGCATCTGTCGTACCCATCGATGAATTTTGTTGACAGCGACGGCCACTTCTCTTTCCTGACTGTACTTGAATCTCTCAACAGCATTCTCCTTCCGCACAAGGTTTACTTCTTTTGGGTCTGTGATATCACGGCCTCCTGCATTATCTATCCCTTTTGTGAGTACAGTTTTCCTAACTCTTTTGCTGGCTTCTGCTCCTTTACCTGTCTTCTAACTTTTGGGATGTGCCAAGCCTTTTTCTCGAGTTCTTTGTCTTTTCAGTCCACACGGTCTCCCTCAGTGACTTCAGCCACTCCTGTGACTTGAATGTCATGTACAGGCTGATGTGTGCCCCATTTATATCCCTGGCCTTGACGCCTCCCCTGAGCTCTGGAAATGCAGCCACTCAGCATCTAGTTCTGGATATCTAACAGAATGTAGAATTGACATGCCCAAATGGAACTCTTTATTCTGTTGTATCTTATAAGTAACATAACCATTAAACATTTGCTGTCTAGATTGCAGTACTTACTACAATAGGTACGAAAGAAAAGTAGCAAAACGGAGTTCGTATTATCAGTAGAGCAATCTAAAATGGAACCTTTGGGAAGCTGAACTAGCTCACCCTCCTCCATGTGAACCTGAATTTTTGAACTGGGCAAAACCACAAATGCCTGCATCCTGAACCGGCTCTGCATCAGTGTACTCTTTATTAAGAAATCAAATTTTCACCTAGGAACAGGCATAAGCAATTAACCATATAAATAGCAGAGTGTAAGTCTGTTTGTAAGCATCAATCGCAGCTCTTTTTTTTTAAACTTTTATGACTTCTTTGGAAACCCCCTCCTTCTTTTTTCTTTTGATGGAAACAAAATCAGGTTCTACTGAAATCTGTGTCATAAGGTATAATTCATATGGTCCAAATAAAGCTTTTGTTTGCCTTGCTGTTATTGGTCAAAATTAATTTATATTGGCACTTGGAATATGTCGGTGAAAAGAAAATTTTTTAAGACAGCACCACTATCTACTTAGCTGTTCAAAGACCTGGAGTAATCCTTCATTTCTCTCTTTTCTTTACCCTTCACATCCAATACATATGAAATTCCTATCAGCTCTACCTCCAAAACATATCCTGTTTCCCTTCGCCCCATCTCTGCTGTAGCCATGTCTCAGAACAACAGTCCTTCTCTTTTGGATTACTGCAATAACCCCACAGCTAGTCTTGCTCCTACTCTTTCTGCCCTCCCCTCACTTTCATTTACCTTTCAAACAGTGATAAGAATGTTAAGTTTTTTTATTTAAATTTTGTTGTCATATTCTTGCTTAACATGTTCCCGTGGCTTCTCATTTCTACTAAATCCGAAGTCTTACCATGACTTGTTTCTGCCTACTTTTCCACCTTCACATCCAACTGCATTGCCATTCACTTGCTGTTCTAGGCATACTGGTCTTTCTGTCTCATGAGCACTGCCAAGTTTGTGGTCACCTCAGCACCTTTTCCTAAACTTAATGTTCCCTTCAGATCTTCATATGACTTTCACTGCTTTTTATTATTCGGATTTTAGCTCAAATGTCACCACCTCATAAACGTCACTTTAAATAACGACCAATGATTCTTTAGCACACAATTCTGCTTTCTTTCCTCACAGTACTTGTCACAGCCTGAAATTACACTGACCTGTTTTTCTTTGTTGTTGCCGCCTCCCCTCAGCCAGAGAGTGCACTTCACAAGAGCTGTATTCCCAATACAGCTAACAGTGCCCGGTGGATCCAAAAAGTTCATTCAGTATTTGTTAACTCTATCGACAGCACACCCTTGAACAGTCTGTAATGGAGTTCTCGTTCACACCAGGACAAATCGACCTCTGTGTCACTTCCAGCCATCACAGTTCTGCCGTTCGGGATGGCACAGGATAGTCTAAAGTTTCTCCCTGTGACAGTCTTTCAGAGCTTTGAAAACAGATTGAATTTCTCCTGTGATTATTCTCTTCCATGTAACAACCAACTCCAGGGTTTTGTTTCTGTCTTTTGACAAATGACTTTATCCTTTTTTATATTCATCATTGATTAACATGTAGTTATTGTAAAAAGAGGGTATGACAAAGAAAAAAAGCAACAGCTTTTATCCTATATCCAGAGAGAACCAATTAATGCATTCTGATGCATTTCCTGGGGGCATATATGTGTGTGTATGTTTATATGTACATATTCATATGTTTATACATATATGTATATGTATGTACACATGCATATGTACATACATATACTAAGGAATTTGAATTGTGTTTTCTACGTAACTATGCATACTGTTTTCACTTAACTTTATAACTATTTTTAAATGTTATTAAACATTTTAATGTTTTATTGTGGTAAAATATGTATATAACAAAGTTGGCCACTTTTGCCATTTGTAACTGTCCAGTTCAGAAGCATTAATTGCATTCACAGAGCTGTGGAACTATCACCACTGTTTCCCAAACTTTATCATCGCCCCAAACAGAAACTCTGTAGCTATTATAATATGACCCCCAGTGCCCTCCCTCTAAGCTTCTGATCACCTCTAGTGTACTTCTTATTGCTGTAAATTTGTCTATTCAAAATATTTCAAATAAGTCAAAGCATACCATACCTGGCTCTTTGTGTCTGGCTTATTTCAATTAGCACAGTGTTTTCAAGGTTCATCTATGCTGCGGCATGTATCAGAACTTTATTTCTTTTTAATGGCCAAGTAATGTTCCATTATACATCACACCACACTTTGTTACCCATTTATCCAATGATGGACTTGGTTGCTTCCAGCTTTTGTCTATTGTGAGTAATGTTGCCATGAACATTTGCATAAACTGTCTGTTTGAGGTCCTATTTTCAATTCTTTTAGATAAATGAATGAAATTACTGCTTGGGGGAACTATTTTCCATAGTGACTGCATCAATTTACATTCTCACCAGCAATGTGTAATGGTTCTAGTTTCTCCACAGTCTCATCAATATATTATTTAACTTTAATAAAATTATTTTAGGTATTCTAATAGCATGAAGTAGTATCTTATAGTGATTTTGATTTTCATTTCTCTAATGACTAATACTGTTGACATATTTTCATGTGCTTGTAGCTATTTGTATATCTTATTTGGATAAACATTTATTCAAGTCTTAACTAGATTAAGCCATTTCTTAACTGGATTTTTATCTTTTGATATCTGGGTTCTGGAGTTCTTCATATACTGTGAATATTAAAACCTCATTAGATATACAATTGACAACATTTTCTCTCATTCTATATATTACGTTTTCATTTTCTCGATAATGTCTTTTGTTGTATAAAAGTGTTTAATTTTGATTAAGTCAAATTTATCTTTATTCTCTTTTTGCTTATACTTGGGTTCTCTTATCTAAGAATCCATTGCTAAATCCGAGGTCATGAAGATTTACCCTGTGTTTTCTAAGAAATTTTTAGTGATTTTTAGCTCTTTTATTTAGATCGTTGATACATTTTCTATATGTAGTGTGAACTAGGGGGTCCACCTTCACTGTTGTACATGTGGAAATCCAGTTGCCCCAACACAATTTGTCAAAGAAGCTGTTCTATTCCCCAGCTAACAGTCTTGACACTCATTGAAAATCAATTGGTCATACATGTGGGGGGTTACTTTTGGGTCCTCCATTCTAGTCCACTGGTCAGTATGTCTACCTTTATGGTAGTAACATACTGTTTTGATTACTGTTTTTGTAGTAAGTTAGAAATCAGAATGTATGAGTCCTCCAATATCATTCTCCTTTTTCAAGATTTATTTGACTTTTCCACATGAATTTGAGGATCAACTTTTCTGTTCTGCAGAAAAAGAAAGCTATCTGAACCTTGACAGAGACTGCATTGAGTCTCTAGATCACTTTAAGTAGTATTGACACTGTAACAAAATCACACCTTCCAATACATAAATACTGGGTGTATTTTAATTTATTTATGTTTTCTTTAGTTTCCTTCAGTGAATTTTATAATTTTCAGCATACGAGTCTTTTTTCTTTGATTAGCTTTATTTCTAGGTACATATTCTTTTGGATGCTATTGAATTGGAATTGTATTCCTAATTTCCTTTTTAAATTGTTTGTTGCCAATGTATAAAAACACAACTGATTTTTATGTGTTGGTCTTGTACCTTTACAACAAAGCTGAGTATGCTTATTAACTCTAGTAGCTTTCTTGTGGATTTTTCTGAACTTCCCCTGTACAGAACAAAGTCACTTGTGAATAGAGAGTTCTACTTCTTCCTTACAATTTGGATGACTTTTATTCCTTCTCCAATTGCTCTGGATAGAGCTTCCAGTACCATGTTAAATAGCAGTGGTGACAGTGGACATCCCTCTCTTGTTCCTAATCTTAGGGCAAAAGCTTTCAGTCTGTCACCATTGAATAGCTGTGGGTTTTCAAGGCAATATATATAATCATGGGGTTACATGGAACATCCTCAATTTGTAATAATCTAGTTTGGATTGATACTTTAACTTCCATAGCATGTCAAAACTCTTATTATATAGCTCTTTTTCCCAATTTTATTTGTCACAAATTATGTTATCTTTATCAATTGTGTGCCCAGTAACTTAGATAGCTAATTATTTTATGCATTTGTCTATTAAATAATGTAGGAATAGGAAGTAGAGTTAAAAAATACAATAATATATACTTTCATATTATCCAAAATAGTTACCTTTACTAGTCAAAATGAGAGTGTCAAAAAAGAGATAGAAATTATAAAATAATTTATTTTGGCTTCTTTTTAGAATTTCTCTCTTTTTATTGATATTCCCATTTTGTTTATATTTTTCTGATTTCATTGAGTTCTTTTTTTCATTTTTTTCATTGAGTTCTTTGAGCATATTTAGACAGTTGTTTTAAAGTCTTTGATCAGTAAGTTCAGTATCTGGGCTTCCCTAGACAGGATTTTTACAATGTCTTAACCATGGAAATCAGTTTCTCCCCTTTCCCTTGGGCTCGACATTTTTTGTTTTGCTGGGGTTTTTTGAAGGCTCTAGTAGTCTACTTGTTTAGTGACTTTCTTAAACTATTTTTACATCGACTGAATCAGTTGTCATGTGTGGTCACTGAACTCTCTGTTCCTTTAGCTTTGATTCGGGTAGTCTTTTGATAGAAGTCCTTGAACTCTGTGAATTAAACAATATGAACAATGACAAAAAACACCTTTCCCAATTGTTGCTGATTGGTTCTGTCCTGGGCATTTCAACACTTAGCAGGTTTGTGTTGAATCTAGAGATTATCCAGAGCTGAAAGTATTGTTTTTCTGGTCTTTTCTTAGTATGCATCTTGCCCTGGGCACATACATGGCTTTCTATATTCTCCAATATACACCGGAGATTATGAATATCATAATTTCCCAAAGAATTGTACTTGAGCATTTCTCTCCAGGCTTTAGGCATTTATTTTTTGTGTCAGCTCTGATCTTTTGTCCCAAGTGAAGTGACTGCAGGTTGTTTATTAGCCTTACAATGCTTTGGAGCAGTGCACACTGCTTCCCCACCCCGAGTAGGTTTTGCATTAGGTGAAACAGAGATGAACACCTCGCTTCAGGGAGCCCCAGACAAGCTGGAACAGACATGCAGAATAACTCATGGATAAAGTCTGCCTTTCCCCCCTGTGAGCAGGGGCCAGGGTCCCCCACCATACATGTGTGCTACCACTTTCAAGGCTGTTCCTGAGCTGGAGGTGGCAAGGGCAAGTAAAGATGCACAAAGCTTTCCTACTGTTTTTAAGTTGCCTTTTTCTTGATTTAGCATTTGTTTGCATGCTATAAACTTTTGTCTATTTTTCATATTTCTGACAAAGTTAGTTCTTACAGTTTCTGCTGGTTTTTCAATGTTTCTGTGGAAGAACGGGGTCTTGGAGCTGCTTTCTCTGTTATTTTGCAGATGTCACTCAACATTTTATTTCTTAAATATTTGAAAGCATTACTTCCTAGTGACTGCATGTTGTTCCATTACATAGATGTGCCATAATTTGTTGAAATGATGCTGTGATGAACATGTTTTTATATCTCTGATTTGTTTTAGCATAGAATAAAATTTCAAAAGTGGAATAACTATATGAATAGTTATGAAAATATTTCAGTCTCATCATATTCATTGTCAAATTGCATTTCAGAAGTTTTCTGTCAATTTACATTTGCACAAGTAGTGTAATATAAGTGTGCGTTTAATACTCCCAATAAGCTATAATTTAATAGCTTTTGCCCACTTAATAGGCACAAAAAGGGCGTCTTGTGGTTGTTCTGTCTGCTGTCTTAAGAGTTTCTCATATGACTTCAGTTTGAATCCATTTATTGTGTTGTTCACTCAGTTTTTGATGTATATCAATTTGTCCATTTTCTCAGATGTGTGAGCCCGAGAATTTACACCATTCTTCTGAAGAACACAACATTTTCCTGCTCTCATACCTATAAATTTTGAATTTATTTTATAGTGAATTTGAATGGTGCCTACCCTAAGCTGGTGCCTTTCAGACCTGCAGGACGGCTGATCTCCCCACCTTTGCTGCTCTCAGTGATTTTCAACATCTTTCTCAGCCTGGCCATGCACATAGTGGGCTTCCTTCTGGTTCAGAGGCAGCCTTGGTATAACATGGAGATACACAGGTATGATCACAGACATGATCCCAGCTTCCCACACTCTAAATTCTATCAAGCATTATCTGGCCCATATGATGGGAGGCACCTGGGCCTTCAATCACTCTGGCAAAGAATTTGACTCCCATTGAATCCCCTGGGTAATTTTCCAGTGAACTTTATTTCTCTGTAGCACAATTTGACCATAACATTTAGTGGCACTTATCTTTGTCTATCTGAGATAACGATCTATGACCATCTTATCTATCTAGGGTGACCATGCACGGTACTTTTCCTGGACATCCCCAGTTTAAGCCTGATATTTGATGAAATGACTAAAATCTTTTCTTTTCCTACTCAGAGCTGTTTCTGTTGAATGATAAATTATATGGTCACTCTATTGATAAAATTTTAGAGACTTTAAGCCACTAGAGGGAAGAATTATTACTTAGTCATCTCTTTCTCTCCCAGATAGCTTTAATATACATGATTGGTGCTCAATATTTTTTAAATAACTTGGTTCTATCTATCTAGCTATCGATCAAATTTATCTATCATTTATCCATCTCTCTAAAAATAGATCTTTCTATATTGTCTTCTTTCTCCTCATTTTTCTGTGTATTCTTTCCCAGAGTGTAGGCAATTAGAGAAACATTGAGGTTATGGAATCTTGTATGTATGCTCCATGGTGTCATCATCTTCCTTCATTAAGTGCTTTTGTTTCCTTTTTAGTAACCACACAATGCAAAATGAAAGCATCTCGAAGTCAACCATCTCTCCCACTGTCCCAGATGAAGTTGGAAGTGATGGTACCTTCCCAAGTTTTGAGAACACTACTATCTGGTTCTTGGGAACAATGAACTGTATTATTGTGGCTCTTATCTTCTCTAAAGGAAAACCATTTAGGCAGCCAACTTACAAAAACTGTGAGTAAAATTCTATGGAATTGGAGGTGAGAGGTCAGAGCAGGGACAGACATGCCTGGGTCATTCACAGAGCAGCTGTAGAGTGGGCCCTTATACCCAGTCTCCTAATTTCCACTCCAGGCCTCTGTAAAACACACTCTGCAGCCTCTTCCATACTAAGGCTTCCAAATACTAAGGCTTCTTTATCCACCTCTTACCTTCACTAGAAATGCATCTCTAAGTGTCTTTTCATGGAATCGCTCGAAATTGGGAAGACCCATGTATTTCTACACCTGTTGGGATTGGGAAGACTCATTTATTTTTTACCCTTGTCAGAGATGGTGGGGAGAGGGGACATGGTGCTCATTTGCAACACATCTCCTGCCATGGAGATGATGGCCAGGATGGCGTTGTGTGGTCCGCAGGCTGGGAGGGAGTCCAGCCTAGGGGGGACATGACTGCAGACACTGGTGGAGGTTCTCTGCCTTTCAAACATTTGTTTGAATGCCCTCTCTACCCCTCTAATTGGAAAAATTAGGAGGCACAAGTTGAAAAATGAATATCCTTGTGAAATCTTGTTCAGAGAAAATTATTTGGCCCTTCTCCTTCTGGGAATGACAAAGCAGTTAATCACTGACCTCTATGTGACTGTAATTTACACATTTGTTTATTTATAGCCCTCCTTCTTTTCCAGAAAAGGAACTGAGGTAGATGATTTGCATTAAAGAGACTCAGAAACTTGGATGCCTTCAAGGCATTTATTTTGTAATAATAAAAATAATTTCTTGTATTAATATAAATACGTTTTGTTAGTATTACCATATGTGTGTGTATCTTTCCCACTTTTATCAATTGAAACATATAACATGGATGTGAAACATTCCACTTGCCTCAAGGACATGCATAGAAATTTTAGAGGTGAGACCCACTGCATAGAAATGAGAACATCCCATCTATTATGCTGTGTTTGGATGTGAAAATCAAGTGAATCTAATCAGCGTTAATCTAGAATATGTCTTTCAATAGATGTGACACTCTATATTCTGATTTCTCTAAATGATAGTTTGTGTTCTTATTTCCTCAGATATATTTGTCCTTGTACTGATCATACAGCTGGCTGTGTGTCTATTCATTCTATTTGCTGATGTTCCAGATTTATATAGGCGTTTGAATGTAAGTCTCATCTCAGGGATGTGATGATATATTACAGTTGTTTCACACCCTAATTTTAGAAAAGCAGGTCACAATTGTAATTGACATGGATTCTTGACATCAATTATTCCCTCGGGATAGTTTTTTTAAATATTGAATTTATTCATATTTTTATTTAAGTTAGATAGGAAATAAAATTCTACTTAGTCTTGATTTTAAGTATTTCAAAAGCATTGAATATTTTTCTTTTAAAAGATTCTCTTTATGACCATAAAATCTATTTATACATTTCTTTCTCAAATGTGAGAAAATTTCCCCCTAAATGCTAGTGTTTTGAAACTGTTTAAAACAGTTTTGCCTATAACACTTTTTCAGTTAATTTTTAAATCTATATTTACATCTTTTACCTCTTTAGAAATGTGTTTTTTCTGATGTTCATACTTGATGTCAGCAAAAATTTCTTTCAAAAAGCCATGCCTTATCTCCTGAACTAGCTTAGATTTTGTAACAGCTTAAAACCTTATAAGTGATGGAAGTTGTATGTATTCAAGTGATGTAAAATATTTTTTCCTAACCTATCCTACTTTTCAGTTAGAAATCCATCATTAGGAAATATCCTTTAGACCAGTAAATAGAAAAGAGAAGAGAAAAGAAACTGAGCTTTCCTCTTTTTTTTACTCAGTGCTCTGTAAACTTGCCTCCCTGCCTCTCCATGTCAAAGACGAGTTTCTCAGGGATGCGATTCTCATGCAGACAGTGCCTTGCGTAGCAAACGGTACCTAATGGCAACAGATGACTGATGGATGGGTGCACATCAGTTTCCTAAACGTGGACAAGCACGTGGAGCATGTAGCTCATTCCAAGCCAACCGCACCTTCACACACCCGGTGTGACAAAGAAACTAATGTCTACAGTGTTCATTTTTATGTCACATTACTATGCTTAACAGTGTCATTGCCACTGTTAAGTGTCCTCATGAATTGCATTAGGTGCTTATAGAGATAAACAGTCTTTGCCTACTAGACTTCCAAGTGAGTTAAAACTTTGTAATCTTGCAGAAAATGAAGAAATGCTGGGTTAAGTTACACTGTTTGCCAGTGAAGACTGGAACAGAGAGGCCCCGTTTTACTGCGTAACAAAACAGGGAGCACGTTTGGTTTGAAGGGAGCATGCGTGAAGTCATTGCCGGCGTGACTGCCAAGGACTCTGCAAAGGACTATTGTCTGCTTTAAAAACAGTCACTTGTCTTATTAGTACGTTAAATCGTGAGCCCATTTTAGAAATGTGAATATGCAAGGAGGGAAAATTATAACATTTTTCACTTTATTGTTCCATCTTTGAAAATTCATATATTATAAATATGTATAATATTTATACATATTATACATATTTAGGGGGGAAGGGAAGGGGAGAGGTAGAGAAACATCAATGTGAGAGAGAAGTATCTATCAGTTGCTCTCTCAGGCGCCCTGACTGGGAACCAAACCCACGACCTTTCAGTTTACCAGACGACACTCTAACCAACTGAGCCATGCTGGCCAGGGCCTTTCAGGCATATTTTTTTTACATATGTATACAAATATATATGTATGTGTGTATATGTGTTTTATATGTATATTCTGCCACATTGTTACACAAACAATAGTGAACTATTACCTTTGTCCAGGGCTTTTGAAACAGGGATGTCCAGATGAGACAAGACGTATGAAAGAAAGTTATTGGAGGTGTTTCTTATGGGGGAACAAAAATCAGGGACCTGGAGGCGGAGGGCACGAGACTCTGTGCTCTGACCCCTATGAGAGAGAGACGGAGGGAGGAGGGGGAGGTGAGGAGAGTTTCAGGCCACAGAACAGTTCTAAGAAATTCAAGCCAGACTTGTCTGTCGGAGGAGTCCGGTGTCTCACAAGAGTGACTGTGATTGAAAGCCTTGCTGTCCTCAGTTATTGGCCACGAGCATCCCATGGGACGTGTGGCCTTTGGGAGGATGTGGTGGCAGATTCTGAGTCTAGCAGCTGGACCATCTGTCACTCTCCTCCCAGAAGCAGGAGAGCTGAGTGGAGTACTGTGGTTGCTGCCAGAAGCACATAAACAGTGCTGCGCCTTGTCTTTCGGGTAACAGTGTATTTTGGTAATCCATCCATAACAGCACATAAAATTTCTTCCTTCTTTTTATGCTAATATAGCATTATATTTTATTTATATATCTCATAATTCATATGTAGTCTCCTATGATAGACATTTAGACTGTTTTCTATTTTTTACTATTACAAACAAAGCTGCAGTAAAATAACCTCATACACATATTGTTTCAACCATGGAAGATTACATCTCTAGGATCACTTCCTAGAAATGAACTTGAAGTTTTAATTATAATAGCATGGCCCTCCCTAGAGCTGTAGCAGTTTACTCCCACCAGTGTAAAGGCAGCGTTAGAGGCAGTGCCGGGTACAATGCACTTGGCTTTGTTTCACTCATTCACTCATTCATTCACCCATGTAATATGCAGAAATATATAACATAAATATCTTGACCCTGAGGAGGGGTTAGGGAAGATACAGAGGAAGTGGGAGAGGCAGGTCATGACAGCTTGGTTTCAGCTCTATTTGCTCTGTTGGTGAGCACCCCCCAGACAGCATAGCCTGTGCCCCTGTGCACACGTCCCTGAGGGTGAAGCCCGGGCCAAGGGCGCCACTGCAGAGCCTGGGTGAGGAGAGGAGATGGCCATGCTGGTCACATGGAGGATTGACAGGTGTGCCCTCAGAGCCTCCTGGGAGTAGAGCCACATTCCTGCGTTCCCTCACTTAAAAAAGCAAACAAAAAGTACTTTTCCTATTATGTGTTGTTGTAAGGTGATTAGATATATTTTAGGATATTTAGAAATTACAAAGAAAAAAATAAGAAGCAAAGTAAGATAAAAGAAAGAAAGTAGCTATCATAGTCCCCAAATCATTGGATATTGGGTACAATTCTTCCATACTGTTCTCTGTATGCATAGAAATACATACAGATTCTACATGTATTTAACACACACATGTGCCTATCAGATATGTAATTTATAACCTATGAAGCACGTGGACATTTTCTGGCGTGTGTTTGTCTTCAGACTAACTGTGCTTCCCTGCCCCCTGCCAGCTGCTCTGCACTCCTGTTCTGTGGAGGGTCTACATCGTCATTATGCTCAGCTGCAATTTCATTGTGTCCCTTGTTGTGGAGGTAAGTGCCCCCCAGACTGGTGATCACTGTGGGGTGATGTTTTAGGGGGTCTGCAAAAGGAACAGCATTAGCTGACAAGGCTCAGCAGTGCATGGGGCCTCCTTCCCTGGCAACATGAGCAGAGCCACATTGCTCTGATGAGTTCAGAACAAGGTGGTTGTTTTCCCATCTGCAAAGTGGAGCTGGGGAGACTAGCAATGTGGTGTCTAAGGGCCCAGTCATTTCTAAAATTGACTAATAGAGACCCAACTCAACTCAATTTGGGAAGTTGGGTTATGATTTATACACTATAAAACTGACCTTTTAAAAGTGTGCTATTTAGTGATTTTTAGTACATGAGCGTTTACCAGTGCAACCACCACCATGATCTAATTCTGGAACGTTCTCATCACCCCAAAAGCAACCCTGTACCTACTACCAGTCACTCCTCATTCCCCTTCCTTCTTCCTTCACCCCCTGGCAACCACAAATTCATTTTCTTATTCTGAAGTTCTCATACAAATGAAATAATACAATATGTGGCCTTCTGTGTTTGGCTTCTTTTGCTTAAGAACTTGTATGATTTTTACTTTACAGATGGGAAATGAGATTCATGGTGAGCTTCTCCTGGCTTTATTCTTCAGCTCCCATTTCCTCATTAAAGTAAACTTACCTCCCCCTTTTCTTCGCTGTGGGGTTCACTCTGCCCTTCACCGCTGTTGGCCACAGTCTCTCTTCTTTCAAAGCGCACTGTTAGTAGGGGTGCCCCCTGAGAGGCACCCATTTTGAAGGAGAGCTAAGCCGTAGGGCTCCATTCATCCACACTGGTACTTGCTTCGGTGCGGGGCTGAGAGCCTACAGCCTGTCTTTCCACGGCGTTTTGTAGGCAGGAGCTCCACAACCTTCCTCGCTGAGCAGAGTGAAGGTTGCACAGGAGCTGGTGGCAGAACAGGACAAGAATAGGCTACTTGAGCATCTCTCTCTGTGCTAAACCACAGCTTCTCAAACCTGAGTGGACATCGGAATCACCTGGAGGGCGATTCGCTGGTCAAAACATGAGTTGTTCAGCCTTGAGCCCACATTTCTGATGTAGGAGGCCTGGCGTAGCCACTAGGTTTTGTTTCTAGCAGGTGTCCTGGTGATTCTGACGCTGCTAGTTCAGGGATCACACACCGAGAAGCACTTTGCAAAACCACATGGTTTTCAAAGCCACCAAGTTAAAGAAAGAACGTCATCATGGGTTTTCTCACACTGAATTGCACAAAGATGGTCCTTGCCCTTTAAAGGAAGATGTCACTTGCCCTGGCCACAGTCTCATTATTTCCTCTGTCTAGTACACCTTTCCCCCTTTCTTCGCATGTTGAAATGCTATTCTATCCTCGGTGGCACAGCTGCAGTACTGTCCTCTTCCGGAATCTTTCTTGACCCCTAGATCAGTTAGGCAAGTAAAAAACTCAGCTAACAGGGGCTTAAACAATAAAGATATTTATTGACTCACTTAAGAAGATTGGAGGTAAGTGGCTTTGGGCTAGTTTCATGACCAGGTACCATGGGGGGTCCCTGTTCTGTTACCTTCCTTAGACGTTGGCCTGTTATGTTTGCATTTGTTGCCTGTGGTGCCCAGATACCTTCCTCACAGCGGGGCATTGCATCTGTTCTCAGTGTTGGAAGAAAAATGGAAGGGGAGGCACAGGCAAAGTAAGGTACTTACTTTTTCCCTTCAAGTAAGCACCTTTTACCAGTGAACAAAAAAATTCCTATGGCCCACCCACAGACTTCATCTTATGCTTGTTGGTTAGAACTGTGTGTCATCGGCATCCTGAGTAGAAGAAGATTCTAGAAGAGTGCATTTATGCAAAAGCGTCATACAAATTGATATAGATTGTTTATGCATTTTTCCTTTTAGGTGAGCAGGAAGACTTGGGAGCATGGGGATGTAGGGTCATGGAGCAGAGCAGTCTGCCACAGTCCCTTGCAGGAAGCCCTTCCAAGGTTAGCACAGGTGCAGTTAAGAGCGTAAGCTGAGGGCAGTTTACCTGGGTCTGAATCCTGGCTTCCCCCTTGCTTGCTGCCTGACCTTGGGCGGCACTTCCTGCTCCACTTCTCTGTGTCTCTGTTTCCTCATCTGTAAAATAGTGATAATAATGATACCTTACCTCAGAGGTTACTGTGAGTGTAAAGTGTGAACAGTGAGAAGTAAATGGTAAGTACGCTCAGTATATATAAGCTATGATTGTTACGTTATCTCTGTGGTACTTACTGTTTCTTACTTTGTGTCTACCAATCATTCAGGCATTCATTTATTTGCTCACTCTTTCCACAAACATTGGTTGGCCATGTGCCATGACCTAGGGCATGATGCCAGCAGATGCACAGGGCAATTTGACACTTGTGGAAGATCAAGTTTCTTCGTTGTTTTTCATGCTGAGTGAGAGATGGAGACACTGTGGCTGTCTAGTGTGGATTCCCAGCAGCTTCGATACTGAGAAATAACCCTACAGGGTTCCAGCTCCCACCCATAACTCCTTCATGCAGTTGCCGCTTTCCCTGCTGTCTGCACACACTCAGGAACAAACCCAAGACATCTGAGCCTTTGATGAAGACAGTTGTATTAAAGAATTACAAACTAGGACTGTAATCCTAGGATTTCTTGTTTCATGAGGTGAGCCTAGCAGAGCAGGTAAAGCCCCCAGAGTGTTGTGGAGGAAGCAAGATGTTTTCCTCACCTGGCTCTAGGTACGTCTGACACAAGGCACTAAGGGTTTCTAGGATGGGCTGCATGAACTCCATACTAGCTGGCCAAGTGGTGGCAGAGATGGTCTGGAGAGGTTTTGGGGGACAGGCGTGGGGGATGATTGGCTTCTGTTCGAAGAGTCCTGAGTATAGTCTGGCATGCTGAGAGGTGTAACTCTAACCTTGACCTTACAGCAGCCCAGCAAACAGGTCGAATGAGACCTTATCCTTCCTGGGCAGATTTGCATGATCTAACCTTCAGCCAAAAGACAGGGGAGCTGGTATTTATAGCTTTAACCCCCCTTCCCTTTTAAATTATTTGTGTGTTTGAATATACATATATATGTATATGTCTATGAATTATTTGAGGAGCCAGTCAGGAGTGCTCATGGGGTAAAATTTTTGGTTTGTTTGGTTTTTTAATTTGTTTTAGAAATGGCATCATATCAAGGCATTCTTTCTGTTTCTTGTTCTGAATTTCACTTGCATGGGGAGCGACAGAACAGATTCTCTTGGGGCTTCAGTTGCCTTGTCCGGAGTAGCAAAGTGGTATAGGTCATCACACTTCCAGAGCTGTGCAAAGGCTCAAGGCAAGGTGTAGAGCACTGAAGTCTTTCTATGCATGTGTGTTTTGATTTGCTTCATTGTTTTGTTTAAAGCCTGTTAAGATTTCCTGAAGGTGAGTTAGATGTGAAAACCACTAATTGGATACCTGTGGTCCTGCCTTATCCCAGCCCCAAGGAGAACTATTGTTTGTTTGTTAAACCAAGGCAGACAAAGGCCTTGCTGTGGAAAAAGAGAGTGACAGGTCAGCCTGGGTGAGCCCTGAGGTTTGCGATGAGATGGCTGGGTGGGTCTTTAACAGCCTGCCAGGGAGTGACCAGGTTCAGTTTTTACCGGAAAGTTCAGATAGTTGTTCTCTGTCATTTCCATGGGCAATGGGATTCAAGTGTCACAGAGGGTGGATTTTAGGAAAGCTAGTCTCTCTGGCAAAGTTTCTTGTAAAATACTACAGAATTAAGTCTTTCAGTTCAGCAAAAATACCATTGAGGCACACCAAAACCAGTTCTAATTCTGTGGGACAGCTTGGCTCCTCATATTTTTCCTTTGTTTCTTTCATAACTTGTGAGATGGTTCCTTTGTTGCTTTCATAACTTTGTGACTACAAGAGAACAGAAAGAGGTCATTCCTGGGGCGCTAACAGAGTCAAACACTGGACACTGAAAACTGAAGAAAAATTTGGTGATTTTATTACAAACAGCACCATCCAGGAGAACTGGAAGCTCATGCTTAAAAGCCTGAACTCCTCCACAGCATGGAGGCCACAGATTATATTTGGCAAAATCAGAAGACTTGGTGGGTATGGGGTCTGAGGTCATGCTGGGAGCAGATTGGTCGGAGGTGAGGTAGAGGTAATGAATCACTTCTTCAGGTCTTAAAGATAGCTGGGAGGCTTTAGCCAGCATCCCTCTGTTTGATCTCACAGGAAAGCAGCCAGGGGGTCTATCCACCTTGGGACCCAGGAACTGAGACGTAACTTAGGTCAAGATGTTACTTTTAGCCTGCCAGAGGTCCAGACCTTCTGACCATTAGTCAGGTCCAGACCACTGACCTCTGCCACCTTGGGGGTTGCTGATTATACCAGGGAAGGGTAGGTCTCTGAGGGGTAGGTACACACACACACACACACACACACACACACACACACACACACACTGAGAGAGGGACAGAGAGGGAGGTTATTTCTAGAGCTAGGATTTAAAACAAAATTTAATCAAAATTATAAGGAGCCTTGGTTTTACGACTAAACATGATAAAAATGAAAAATTAACACAATATCCTCTCACTCACTCTGTATTGTACCTTATGAGCTCTTTTTGAGGCTGAGTCTAACTCATGAAATAAAATAGCAATCCAAAACTTTTCCAAAGAGATGTATCTTATAATCTTACAAAAATGCATTGCAGTTACTCGTTGGGGTTACTTGCCGAAGGTTAGAGTTATATGCAAACAGGGCACCACATGGTTCAAAAGGGTAGGAAATGGAGGCAGCGAAGCCATGCTGTGCCCTGCACTGTAAGGGGGGTTATGTAACTCTCATGACAAACCTCAGGGGAAAAAATGATTATTTCTAACCACCGAAGCTCAGATAGGGTAATTTACCCAGAGTGGGTGTCAGAACTGGAATTCAAAACCAGGTTTGTTCAACTTCAAGACTATGGCCCACTTTAATTTTACTTAACTCTGTTTATAACTATGCAGTGATGTTCCAGCATACATACCAAAGC